TCCAAATGTGTTGCTATGGCAACGTTGCACAAATACATGCGCTCTCCCCTCTTATTGCTCTTCACGTTTCCTCTTCTTGGTCTGTTCTTTGTGGATAGTCAGACCTCATTCTTAATCAGCCCCATTCGGTCTGAAAGGGTTTTAATATAGTGTATAATGTGGAGTTTTTTTAAGGCTGTAAACTGTGTTTGAATCACCAAAACAGCGACAGCTTTACCTTTATGAGTCAAAGACAACAGTATATTGCATACTAAAACAAACCTCTCTCCCTGCATAAAGCCTTGCGGATTAGCCTTGGCTTCATGGTCATACGTGCCACTGAGTTATTGAAAAACACACTTATGCACACATAATTTCATTCCTCAAGCAGCTCTCTTTTCTCTTTTGCTTTTACAGTCAAGTGAACCTGCAGCACATTGGTTCAAACTCTTGCTAACTGCCCATGGCCCTTACAATGATCATTAAACTATAACGTTAAGCTAATGATCTGGAAGGATTGTCATAGCGAGACAGAAAACACTGGATAAGAAAGAATGAGCACATCTTTAGCTAGATTACCTTACCTTATTTGGTCTGACAAAGATAAATTGAGAATTTTAGCATGACGGATGAAAAAAAACATTCATGTTCCAGCCTTATGTCTGTGGACAGGATGCGCATGATGTCATCACAGTTGGCGCTGCGTTTTGAGGTTACACCCACTTACCCTCCAAAAGACAGGCAATTTAACGACTGTTGACCGTTTCACCACCCTTGAAAGCAAAGAAAACACATGTATTGTGCACCAACGGATCCAAGAAGATGTTTTCCTTAACACAAGTGAAGAGTGTCAAATAGATTAGAAACAAAAACACCCACAACCTAATAAGAATGTGATTTATTTAGAGTTTTTAGTATTATTGTGGTATTATTACTTCCTGGCTTGACAGCTCTGTAGAACACCCCCCCTGTGACCTGGCTAAAGCCACGACACTTCCATGGGAAAATAAGTTTTACAATTCAATTAGCCAAATAAGAATCACAGTAGAAACTGCAAAAGAAGCTAGGAAGAAAGATTTTTTCTTGCATTTGTTAAAAAAGCCCTTGGCTATACAAGTTCTCCGTGCTGTCGATTGATATTTTTCACAGTTGCCGTCTTGCTCGTGCCTCTTTTTTGTTAGCAAGTTACTGTCATAAAAGGTCTGTTCATAAATTACATTAGTCTCGGTTGATTTTGTTGGACCTTGAGCTGACTGCCTCTGTGTTCCCAGATCGGCACAATGTTTGTTGATCATATCTGGTCTCAAATCCTTCAGGAGAATGCTGTTTGCCTATCAAGATAAAAGGCAGAGAGTACGCCTGGAGCTCCAAATCCCACTAAACACTTCACAATGCTATTTCTTTGCAGTGTAACAGAAGGAGGCCAAATGTACCAGACTGCAAAGAGTCACATGACACTGTATGATGTAAACGGAATAACTGGCACGCCTCCATGCTTGGACACTGTTCATCTTTGCTGTTTCATCTTCGTCTCATTATAAACCTTTGTTACTGAAAGAAAACCACAAGGGTGAGACTATTCTTGTTAACGATAGTTCAGTTCCATTAAGTGTCCCTATAAGCTTAGGCAGGGAGACAGACACAGTCTAAGAATATTTTAACTTTTGATCTGAATGTCCTGCAGCCATTAAAAAAAAAAAAATTAAATCACAGTTGTCCCTGTGATAAAAATCTGAAATATGTGCTTTTTAAAGAGCTTCAATCTGGCACGTACATGTAACAGCAATCAGTCTGCCTTTGTGTTGGAGATTTAAAGACACACATTATTAGTATTAAGAGTGATGACCAATTGTCTATGTTCCTCCAAAATATTGTTGTTTCAGTTATCAAGCATAGTCATAATAATAATTTGAATAATTTCATGAAGGAGAGATGTCAGGGATTATTAATTCCTGAAAAATTATTCCAAAAACTATGAAAGTCTCAAAATGTACGGCTATTGACCCTGAATTGGAATATGTGGGTGAAGAAAATGTTCAGATCCTTCTTATAACACGAAGTTTTAGGTGAAAAGTCAGGAAAAGTCAGGAAGTCAACAAACTGTTGAAATTTGTTGAAAATGTACTGAAGCACCTAAATGTAATTGGATGTAATAAAACTCTACACATGTTTAAAATGATATGATCTCTAACAGTCACAAAGTAATGAGACTGACATATATATAGCTTTACATTGCACATCATCTATATGATGAGCCTTTAAGAGAAATGTAGTTACAGCCTGACCTTTACTGTGATGACCAGCAGCTTGAATAAAGATCAGGGTTCCCATTACAGCTTATAGTTATAGTACAAGTGCTTTGGGCAAGATGCCCTTTTGCAGCATTCTTTTACGATGACAGTTCTGTAAAGCAAAGAGACTTCTGGCTGGCTTCTTGGGGAAATTGGATTGTTTTTGCCATCAGGTTTTTTTTTTATGGCCCATCTGTTCTTAATAGGTTTGTCAAATGCTTAACTCTTGAAAGGGTTGCTGCCGAGGAACAATGAGCATGAGTTTTCACATTTCAATTATTTATCACCTAGAGACTTCATTTGCGAGGAGACAGCAGGATGGTTCAGTGGAAGAATTGGGAACTGTATGAGTGATGAATTACTCTTGGGTGTTAAAGTCATCTTGACTGAGAGCAAGTTCTCAGGAACAAAGAAGGTGGGATTAAACCCAGCTCTTTAACATGGTCTTTTATAGTCTGCTTTACTGTGAAACATTGCCAGTTTGTTGATTCTCTGTTCTCCAGGAGAAGCTGTAGTATAAGATGGACCATTAAAAGCCAGAACAAACTCAAGTGAGTGAGATTCAATTGAGAAACAGCAAATATTGTTATTCAGATTTTCAAGTTGCAAGGTCAAGAAACAAAAGGAGCCTTAGTCCACTTAGTGCAACTTCAAGACCATGTCCCTGAATAGGGAACGGTAGAGGATGACACTAAAGAGATAGTTTTATTGGCGTACGTCTTCTGCTTTGTCTTCTTTCTGCCTTGCCTTGTTTCACCCCTCTATTCTCATTTAAAGAGCTGAAGCGAAGGGCTGTGTTAAACCGCTTTCAGTCATCTGTTCAAAGCCTAATGCATTTCTCTTAAATATTTTAATATGTTCCTCCTTCTGTTGTGCAAGGTTGAGTACAAGCTAACCCTCAGCTGGCGCCCAAAGAGGCACCATGCCACCAATAATACTAAGATAATAATATAATAAGATCGTTCGAGAGGTTTTCTTGCCTTCCGTTTTTATGAGTGTCACAAGAGTCACAAGAGTCACATCAGAAAGAGGCATTTAGGCAGTGGTGGAAGTTGTTACCATGGATAATAGAAACAAGGTTTTCACGTCATTCGAGAGGCATTAAATATCAAGCATCTGTTGTGTAACTGTGTCCTCGTATTTTTAAGAGTGCAACTATGATTTTCAGAGTTTCCTGTGCAGATTTAGGGCATCATGCCGGATGATGCAATGAGATGAAAACTTGGTGGAGTTTCTCTCTCTTTTTTCCCCCCTTTTAAAAAAAAAAAACTGGTCTGACAGGCACTCTCATAAAACCAACACATAAAAACCCAGCGAGCAGACCCAGGCAACCCATGAAAATAACACCTGAACAATCCACTTCCCACTTTATGAGTTGTTACATAAGACAATAAAACTTGTGTCTCCGTGTGTGATCCCTTGTGAAAACGCTCGGTGACACGTGGCAGCATGTGGTCTTTATGGTTCAATAATTTCAGTTCTTCATTAAAGTTTATACCTGTCTTCCCCAGCCCCATTTTTCCTCACTGTTCCACCTCCTCCCCTTATCACTCATGTCGCTGTCTTCCAAAGCAGCAGCTGTCACAGAACTGGACCATGAGGAAATTAAAAATCTTTGTTGGTTTGTCTGCAGATGTCAATAAAATCCTATATCATATCCAGACATGTACACACTATCCTCATAGCTTACACAAGACTTTATTATTGTCATAGAAAACAACAAAAAGGAGTTAGAAAGCTCTATTTGGTGAAACATAAATCTAACAAATACACTTTTTTAAACCTATACTGCGTTATATCAGGAGAATATCAAGGTCAGATCAGGAGATGCAATTTTGTGAATAAGTGCACCCATTTTTAGAAAGGGTTCACTCTATTTGTGGGTGTGAATGTAAAAACACAAAGCGCATTTAATTAGAATATTATTGAATAGTATTTTTTTCTGATACTGTGTATTGTTTTTTTAGATTCTTTTTAGTAGCTTTCAGTAGGAACTCTCATGATCAAACATGAATTATGGTTGCATGAGATGGCTATTGTGGACATTACTAATTGAACATAACTTTTTTTCAGAAGGAGTATTTAGAGGTTGTTCTGATTCTCTGTTACGATTGACTTGCAAAGGCTGTGTAGTAAAATGATATACATGCCATTCTCCATCTTTATACCTGTTTCCTCTTCCTGATTATGTCCAACAAAGCTGTACACTGTAGAAAATAACTACTTTCTCTTTGAATTTGTGCCATTTCAGGAATTATAATTTAGGCAGTCAACTTTGTTTGATGTAAGTTCTGGTATGTAGGACAAAGAAATCATTCAATGAAGAGGTTGAAATTATGGCAATTAACCCAGATAGCTGATCTGTGCAGTTTTTAAAGCTCTTTGTCTGGAGACCCTTTACAGTCAAAGCACTTCTGTAATGGTAAATGAGATCCAACCTGGTGGTGCATGAGTTTTACAGGATGGTTCGTCTCAGGTAGAGCTGGCTAGAAGCTGGTCTCTTTGTTCGACTCAGAATACAGTATAAACAATATAAAGCTTTCAAGATGGAGCTCTGACTGGGCACTAGTGATGGTTTTCATCCCCTGACGCATACGCCCACACAGTTTTATGACATATTTTACCAGTATGACATGCAAGCACACAGCACCTTCTTTCACTGAAAGCTGTTGGTTTTATATAATTGGGAAAAAAATACTTAGATTCTCTTTGTGCTTGTTGTTGTTGCAGTTGCAGGACCAGTAACAGGAAAAGCCTCATCCTTACCAGTACATCCCCCACCTTGCCGAGGCCGCACTCTCCTCTACCTGGACATATAGGTCAGTATTATGCACACCAGCCTCTTAAGAAATTATGTATTAAATCTCTTTTATTCTGAATGGAATCACAGGGCCAACAAATGTTCAAATCACTTTGCTTTGCATCTTAAAATCACACAGCACAGCATAACGCAATAACTCCCTTCCCTCAACCTGTCAGTCAGGGTTACAAAACAGAACACGCTCAACATTTGAATGATTTATTTTGAATGGACTGACGTCACCATCTTCGTGTTTATCGGGGCTTTTGCCAAAATGTGCTCTCACACGCAGAGAAGCGCTTGTGCTCTCCAGACAAACAATGTGAAAACCTGCTCATCAACACTCTGTCTTTAAACTACAAGCAGATGGATCAGGGCTGAGATGCACGTAGTCTGTAGGTGTCTTGAAAGTAGGTGTTAGAGTGATTAAAAACAGCTGTTAGTTTATATTAACCCTGTATGCGGTTTTCTTTACTAAGATTTTCATTTTATTCTCAATTTTTGTACCTAGACAAAACCTTTTTAAAGCCGATTTCACTTTGAATAATTGTCACTTCAATCAAGATAAACTGATCTTATTTTAGGTTTATTATCCTGCCTAATCACTACCCTTTTCTCTTTGCTGCTCTCCTCTTTCCACTTGTATTTCATTAGGAAGCAGTCCCCTGGACAGCCCACGGAACTTCTCCCCTAGCGGCCCTGCCCACTTCTCCTTTGCTTCGTCTCGAAGGTTGGCATTCTCCTGTTTTACGTCAGAAATCGGATGCGCATAATTTCAAGAGCAAATGCAAAGTAGATGATTTCTGCATGCACAAACACACAGTGAAACTCCTCAGGGAACTCAGCCACACGTAACACCGTGGAAAAGAAACCTGTCTTTGTCCTGGCCTGCTCCAACCATGACTGTGTCACAGAGGCATGACAGCAGGCTGACACAGTATGAATCAGGCGAGGTGCCAGAACGGTGGGCCTCATCACTCACTCAGACAACATGTCAGACTCTAGAATGGTAGGAGGAGACCGCAGGGAGAAGAAGATTAACAGAAGCAAAAAATGCAATAGGACTGAGAGGATGGGAAGGTGACAGAAGTCATGTTGTGTAACAGTGAGGGAAAGTAATGGAAGATTACAGCTTTTACAGCTTGTATGTCTAACATATTTTCCATTTTTACAACCTTTGTTTTGTTTTGCTTTTGTCAGGGCTGATGGTCGAAGATGGTCTTTGGCCTCTCTGCCCTCCTCAGGCTATGGGACCAACACACCCAGCTCAACAGTAAGTTTCCTCTTTTGACTATATTTCCCTGCTGGATATGAAAAAGATTTTTTAGCACAGGATCATATAATCACTTTGATGAAAAGGGTAATCCCCCGCTTTATGTCTCCAGTTACAGAGATTAAGTAACTCAGGATTAAATCATTTTTTAAAAGTCAAAAGTACAAAACAATGTTCTCATCACTCTTGGCGCACAATATTTGGAATGTTTCAGACATGCCCCTAAGATTTGTTGCATGTGTTGAACTGTTTTGTTGTATTTTTTGAGGCATTTCAGTCTCACAGTGTTTAATATGTGTATATAAAGAGTGTTAATGAACCTGCAACCTTGGTGATGGATCACAGCCAAATGTTAACCTAAATGACAGCTTTCACATCATATTCACATGTAGAAACACATGTTCAAAAAAACATATTCACATGTAAGAAGGAAATAAATAAAATCGATTAATTATTTTAAAGAAACGGACAAAAGTACGATGCCTTTCACATTTAAGATTCAGCCTATGTATACAAGTTCAGTGTTCAGTTGAGTGTCCATACTCAAATTCCAATGAGCTTTCATTCATATACATTTCTATCACCATGTATTTCCTATATTACAGATGTTTGTGTTTATTTTCTAACAGGTTAAAAGGCAATAGGGGCTGCACAGTGTAGGTTGGTTAAAGGGTGTCAGGGGGCCTTTCTGTTTGGAGTCTGTCTGTGTATGCTTGGCCCTGTGATGGATTTGCAACCTCTCAAAAGTCAAAAGCCTTTTCAGGCTTCTTCAGTTCTATCTGGCTTTTGGGGGGTCCCAGAACACTCAATCTCCCATTGGCTTATTTGGAACTATAAATGTAACAGAGACCACTGACTTGCAAGTGTGAAATGTCATATGAGTTCTTAAACATGTGACTGTGATACTATGGATAGCAGTGAGGGTGTTGTCAAGGCTGTGTTCTATGTGTCTGATGGGAAAATCTGTCAGCCGCCTCCATGTTTAGTGATGTGTGGCGCAGTTTAATATAGAGGACTCCTTTCACTGTGTGCCGATTCCTGATCATATATCAGCAGGTGAACAAGGTTTTTGGCCTGGGCAGCACAGTCTCCTGAGTCTCAGAAATCATATACGATAACTTCTGCTCATGTAGTTGAGCTGACAGGTCATTGTTTTAAAGATCATATCCAAACGCCAAAATGTCCTTTTACTCACAAGGACACTTGTCCTTTTATTATGTGAATATAAAGATACATTAAATAAGTTATTAATGTAATCTTTAAATTATCCCCTTTTAAAGGTTACCAATATGACAGATCACTCAACAGATCTAGTAATGGTAACCCCAACTTTCCTGAATCTGATTCTAGCAGCAATCACTATAATTTAGCCCTTCTCAAATGCAGAATACTTCTGACTAAGTGTGTCCTTGTGACATTAAGTTTGCAGTTATCAAACTACACTCCAGAGGATCTCTCTTCCTTTTACCTCATCGTGGGAACAAACATTTACTGGGATGCTTTCCAGTTTTAACAGAGCAGTAAGCGGAGTGGAAGTACAGAAAGTAAACTGATACTAACACAAAGGATCGTTGTTTTTCTTATTATCATCTCACTAATGTACTTTAAGTATTGACTCCTGATAGTTATATCGAAATTTTGCAAAATATTTCTAACTGATCAGGTGAAATGTCCAAAAATGTACATATATTTGTCACTGACAAAACCAGCAACTTTACTCGTTGATTTATGTCCTGAATCCAGCTATTGAAGTTGTGTTCTGTTTGGAAATTATTATTGTATTACACGACAATCACAGCTGAACTCAACACAAACACCCACACTCCTGCCCTCCTTAACTTTGTGTTTTATGCTGAAAGTCTCAGGCACGTTTTTAAATCTTAAACCGGAACTAAAAATAACTAATCAGTTGCTAAGATGTAGTCGACCTGATTTATCTAACACTTGGCCTTTCGGAACATTAAATTGAAGCAGCGATGAATGAAATGTAATCTAGCCAATCCTTGGTGTTTTTCCCCATCGGTTATACAGCAGCAAATCATTTCTTTATGCATAACTAGATACCCAGAGTGGAAGTGAGGGATGATGTTTAGGGCCAGTTGGGACAAATGAAAAAATGTTGGTAGAAAGAGAATTTGGATTGAAGTATTTCAGGCAAGCAATGTTACCATTTGTCTGAGAGCAAATATTTTTGGGACAGAGGAGGCCTTTCTGAGAAGTTAATCCTGCTAAGCCCCATTTAGTAAATTTTCCATTTACTAAATGGAGAATTTAGTAAATGGAAACTTCCTCTGAGTCTTTTTTCTACTTTTCACACATCATTTCTTTCATTGACCACCTCTCACATGTTCCCTTGCAGCCCTTGCAGCTTATAAAGACACACACACACACACAGACTAGATTACTCATTCATCTCTTTTTGCTGGTAGGTGAGATGAGTGCTATGTCTGTGCTCTTCTCCACCTCATGTCTCCTCCTCCACCCCATCAGTGTTCGCTGCTCTGCTGGTTCTTACATGGGCCATTACTTGCTTGATTAGTTACAGCGGGGCGCTTGCATGCAGAATGGAGTAGATGAGAGGTGTGTGTTTGAAGGAGTTTCCTTTTCAAAGGCGAGTTAAAGCTAAAGATGAAGCAGCACCGGTGTGAATTGTAAGCTGCGGAAGGTGGAGGCATGACAGTAAAGCAGACTGTAAAAGAAAACCTAGGAAAATGAGGCTCTCCTTTGCTGCAGCAGAGCATTTTTAGACCAGGACAAATACAGCCCTGACATTGGATCCTGGCTTCTGTTTGTCATATTGCTATAATCTATTTAGTAACACATTAAACAAAGTAAGAGCCAAGATAAGGTTATCTGGTGATTCTTCAAACTATTTCATGTCAAATTTGAAGAATAACCTATAGGATAACTTAGAATATATAATAACAGATGCTCCACAATGTTATTAAAGCCTAAGAAGAAATTGGGTCTGACATAAAGCTGAAACACAAGAAACATTGTTCTTAGGATTCTTAGCGAGAATCCTGTGGTTTTTGACAGTAGCATTGGCTGATCTATTGGATTCTGTATGTTGGTAGGTGGTTTCTCTTTGTCTTGATTGACTTTCAGCGCAACTAGCACTGCTGGGTTGGTCTGTAGATGTGAAACATGACCTTGGGTTCTTCGTGGTTTTCTTGCATTGAGAAAAACACAGCGACACAAGGCAACTCATTATCCTGCTCATGAGAAGCCACTGCCAAACTAAGGTGCCATGGGCGAAATCTTGCGTTTGTAGTATGTCCTCCATTTGTATTCAAGGGCCCAGTGTTTCCCAGAATAATAGTGCATATGGCCTTGATAGTCAGACTTGCTGAGGCTGATCGACAAACAAAATCATTTAAACACCTTAGAAAGAAGCAGGCTCGTTGAAGCTGAAAGAAAGGTGATCAATCTAAGCAACAAAGAGGAAACAACGTCTCGTCTCTACAAAGTTAAGCCCTCTTATCACATTTTGTTTTTCCATCTGTTCTTGAACAGTTATGAAATGTGAATAAGTGAAGAAAACTCTGAAATCAATTAAGTAGACTGAAATTGCATTCCATAAAGATCAAGAGATGCAAGACATTTTTCATCCCTGACAACCATCATATCCGATGACATTTCATTCATATTTGCTCTGCATCCAGGAAACTACTAATTGATTACGTCAGTCGAACCTCACGACATCACCGTTTCAGTGCCTCTCTGCAGTTTGCAAGTGGCTCAGACCTGAATGGATTTTTGGAAAGTGATTGTGTGGCCGAAGCCAACCGCGGGGTCCCATTGGGAGACGAGTTCATTAAGTCTCCCATTGATCCAGGCCATTTTCCCCACTCCTGCGCAAAAGAAAAAGTCTTTTGTTTAAGACCAAACAGCGCAACCATCTACCCCCCTGTGACATCAAACACTTAAAGCAGCAGTCAACTTTTACTTTGAGTGACTCCTTCATACCCTGCAGTAGTTATTTGCTCTATTTTTCAGACCACATTATTCTGTTTTGTCCTCCTACACAAACCCCTTCTGGGTATTTTTCCATGCTTTTCCACCTCTCTCTTTTCTTCCTTGTTCTTTTAACTTTGTGACTTCTTTGTTTCATTTCTTTCTACCCACTCACATCACAGCAAACCGTGTACTCTCCTTTTTCTTCTTGTTTTCTCTGTTTTTACACTCCTCTGTACTTCTCTGTTTTGATGTCCCCTGTTCATCTCTGGGTATCTACGTTTAAACATTTGATGTCGCGGCTCGTACAAAAGCTTTTACAAAAATCAAACAAAGATCAGGTCGCATCTCAACCTCTTGCTCTTTTTCATGTCTGTGTTCTCTGTGCAGTCATCCAGCTCGTCTCAGGAGCGTCTGCACCAGCTGCCCTTCCAGCCGACCATGGATGAGCTGCACTTCCTGTCCAAGCACTTTGGCAGCACAGAAAGCATCACAGACGATGATGGAGGGCGACGCTCGCCACATGTCCGCCCTCGCTCTCGAAGCCTCAGGTGAGAGCCCTGGAGGCGATAATAAAAGACTTGAAATTATACCTATATTCCTGTGGGGAAACGAACAAATGTGGACCATGCATATCACGGGGCGGCCTGTTGGACACATTATCTTATTGATTTATGTTTACTATTGATTTACGTTTCATTTTTTAAGAAGTCAGATAGTTTTCTGTTAGGAGGTGCAAAATGTAACTATTAAAAAAAAAGTTAAATGTCTGACTTGTGGTGTCAGAATAGGAGATGCAACCCCAGCGTAACTGTTGCAAAGCCCCAAATATGTTGTTTTTTAGGCAATCTGTTCACAGAAGTGCATGTAATTTAGATTGTCTGGAAATAATTGAAAGCATTACTTCCCTCAAATTCAATAAGAAAGTCTTCATTTTTTAACAGCCCATAACCTTCCTCAACACACCTAAGTTGTAGGTAAAACCTTTAGACACTCTGCAGCTGCCATTTAGATGAAAAAAGTTTGAGAGCTTTTGGTCATTAAGACCTAAATGAAAATGTAAAGACTCTTTTACTCATGTTAAGAAGGTACTTCATGTCTTAATGGATAAGTATTCCGTCCTGGGAATTAAAAAAGAAAATGTTGGATTTAATAGAATTTCTGTATAAAATATCATCATGTCTCATTACGGTCTGCTGGACGAATCAAAATCCGTCTTATATAAGTAGCCTGAATACATATTTGCCTTTTGTTTTTATGGTGCGTTACCTTTTCCTATTGTTACACATATTTTTGCGCAAGTAACAGTAAAACTACCATGCCTTTATACATGCATTTTAGATAAAACATCCTTTAAATCGTTTTAGGCCAAACAGTTTTTGTACAGTGTCAGTTCACTCAAATTTTCAAAGTTGAAAACAACAGTTTGCAAAGAGCCTCCTCCTTCATCTAATCGTAAGTGTGCAAAAGGCAGGTATGAAAAAAAAGAAAAGAATTCCCATTTATCAAGAAAAAAAACTTGAGGCAAAGCCAGAATGAGAGAGTATGGCCGTGTGCCCTGACCAGCTGGGTTTTGAGAAGACAGGAAAATAGGGACAACAAGCTCCATTAAACCTGACCAGGGGTATTCGCTGAGAAAGAGAAATGAACTCGGAGGGTAAATCAAGCAGATTCAGGCGCATCATGGGACATCCCCCAGCAGTCTAGTTTAGGCTTGTAGCAGCATAACTATGAGATGTTTTTGGACCACCTGAGCCATCCTAACTATACCATATTGCCATTTCTTAAAAAGCTTTAGGTAAAAATAAGAAATTCAGCAGCATAATCATTAAAACACATCTCAAATTCCACAATGGATTACCTTTAGAGGAATATGGTGAGGCTTTTGATGTGTTTTTCACATTCTCCTGATCATAACATCATTAAAAATGTGTGGGCAGACCTTAGTATGCAAGACAGCAGAATGAGTGAGACAAAAATCCCACAGAGAAGAACTAAAATAAGAGTGTTTTCAGGCTTTAGGGTACCGAACAATGGAATGTTGTTTTGCTATTCTTAAAAGAAAATGAAGGGGATGATAAAACCTCTCCTCTTTAACTTGATGGTCCTTTAATTGAGTCAATCCTTTATTTTATATTCACTGTGCTCAAACATTATGAGTACTAGGAGTTCTCAAAAATGTCAGTGCCCTCGGGCACAGTGCTGAAGTAGGTAAAAGGACTTTTGAGATATATTTCTATTTGCTGCTGATTTCATTGTTGCGTGAAGGAGCAGACTCAAACCCAAGCTCCAGAACCAGACAGGCATAGAAATCAAATAACCTTAATAGCTACACTAAAGTAGCTGCTGAGAAATGTAATTCCAAAGAGCAGGATTCCTAAAACACAGCAGTAGAAGGGATGACAGCACAATGACAAGTTAAGAGTTTAATATGAAGATTTGTTCACAAACTCGTACAAGTCATAGATATACTGAAATATTATACTCAGCTCTGATTTATTTGCAAAGAACCTTTCAAATCTAGGTGATAACCAAAGTGATTTACCAAGCGAAAGAAGGATTTAGATGAAGCATGCATAATTCACAAAGATTTCAGTGGAAACTAACGACCAATTATGGAGGCTGATAAAGTGGAAAGAATACAAAGAAATGATTGTAAGCATAAAAAAGGCAACTTAATCAGAAACAGGGTGGAAAAGGGTAGAAAAAGGGTAGATCTATGAATTAGATCAGTTTTAAGCTCCAGTTTTAACGTAGCTGGCTCCACAGCAGGAGAGCCTGAAAATGGAAGGTTCTGCCTTCCATTCTGGTCAATATACTACTGGAAACAACAGGTGGAGCCCAGTGCTGAGAGCAGAGTGATCTGGTAGGGTCATATTCACTATAAAGATCTTACACAAAAAGGAACCGCTAGGTCTTTAAGGATTTTGTATGCAATGAGAAGGATTTATTTTGCGTAGATTATTCAATGATGTCATGCTTGGTAAATGTCAATGAATCGCTTTTAAATGTGCAGCAAAATCACACATGTAGCATTAGTGTATTACCTGGCATTTTAAAGCCGTTTCTGTCTGATTTAGTTCTGTTGGATATAATCAGGTCAACAATCAATGCATTTCTGTAGATTTTCATCTAGGAAAAGAAAATCAGAAGATTACCGCCAGTTTAAGAACATTTCAAGACAGAGCACAGCGCATTAACGGGGTGACAGGTAAAGAGCAGGGATCAGAAATTTCACAGGAATAATAGAAGTTCAAGAGGAAAAGAGGAGGAAAATAAAATAGGATCAGTTTCAACTCCACAGAAATTTCAAGTCTACTGAGTGAACATGATTTCACTGAGAAAACAAAAAATTAATAACATCAAGTGACAAACTCAAACTTATCCTGTATTTCTTACTTGTGGTTAGATCCATGGAATCATACATTTTCTATTCAGTGTATGTTTTGTGAGATAGAAAAGGTACTAGGTGATTGCATACAATCAAATTAACTTGATCCAAAAAAGAAACAGGAAAAAGTTATGCTCAAATAAGGGAAGAATATTTTCCCAGAAACATTCCACTTCGGCTGAGTGTATTGTTCACCACTGTTATTATATCAGACTACCCTCCAGTGTTTTTGTGCTTCTCTGGGGTGCTGCAGTTTCTCGATTAGCAGGAGTCCCCAGTGTGTATTCTCTAACCACACCTATTATAGTCTCCCCTCTAGGTGCAGCATGCCCTAACTACACGCAACACATCACTACTTATCAGTATTCTGCCTGCACACTGAGCTCTTTTGCTTTGGCTGGCCTCGATATTATCTCGCGGCCCCCGGTACTGCCTTTATTGTGTACCTTGACACGTCTCATTATCATCTTTCACATCACAATGTTGTTCTGTGAGGGTAAACTGTTAATGCGTTTCCCCATGCACATCTTTTCTTGAAATGCTTTTTCTTCTGTGAGGGTTGAGAAGATTTTTTTTTTTGCATGGTTTGATTTCCCCCATTGATGGTTTTTGCCTCCCATCTGTGCATGTGTGTCTCAAAGCAGTCCCATTTCTTCATGCTTGTTCTCATATTTGTACCATGCTGGGATGGAGGAGTGCTGCGTGGCATGCGGGAAGATGCCGGATGCCTCACAGAGAAAGAGTCTGCCGAATTCCAGCTCAGTTAATCAGCATAGCATATATGCAGGATGGTCATGAGGCCAAGCAGCGACTCGTTTCTGTTTTCGATTGAAGACTTTTTTTCGCTCTCTATATTTCGCTCTGTTTTACGCAATCCTACCCCCGTTGATGTTCTCCACCGGGGCTGCATATTACACTCCTGTTGTCTGTGTTTGTCTCTCCTCAGCCCGGGGCGCTCTCCATCCTGCTATGACAATGAAATAGTAATGATGAACCATGTCTACAAGGAGCGCTTCCCCAAGGTCAGGCTCACGAAAACAAATACGCACATGTCAGATCTATCTCTAAGCACATGCCTGGCAAACATAATGCATAATAGACATCCCTTATCAACAGTGAAAGTGATTGAAAGATTTTTATGTGAACACATTTATAAAGAATGTATGTGAAGATTCATTGTAGATTTCACACAACCAGCAATAAACAAATAATCTTAGAACAGGGCGTTATAACAAGGTAAACAGTACATAGACAACACATGATATATCATACATACAATCACATTGTCCATTTAATAAAAAAAGCCAAAATGTGTAAGCAGTGTGTGAAAGCTGAGTATACTCTTACTGCTCTCATAGGAACTAAGATGGTCAGTAGCATTCAGGTGCTGCTACTATATCAGCCCATCAGGTTTATAAAGCCATTTACAAACTAACCTGAGTCAATCACTCTACAGTGAGAAAGATCTCTCACAAGCGGAAAACATTTCAGACAGCTGTCATTTCAGAGTGCAGGGGGCGTCCCAGCAATTTGACCCCAAGGTTAGACCCAGCAAGTCCAAGAGCTCCATCCCAGTCTGCATGCGAAATGTTACATTTTGTGAACAGGCAAGATTTGTTTGTAAGGTTTACAGGAAAAACGCTCCTCTCTCTAAAATGATGGTCGAACTACTGAGGCTTCTGCTTGGTAGACAGCTGCATCACCAATCAGGCTATAGGCACCCCCCATTTCCGAGGACACCTTAGGTGTGCAAAGTTGCATTTGAATATGCTACTAGGTATCTTGAAGACTGTCCTTTGGACAATGAGACTAAAGGGGATATCTTGAAGACACACCACCCTGGTGAAAACAAAATCCAGTTCATTAGCATAAATACCTCACACCATATTCCACTGTGGTGAAGTCATGTTTTCGAGTTGCCTTGCAGCAACCGAGTGTTGACAGTCGTTGATCTGACTAAGCAGACTATAAGGTTCCTCTATATATCATAATGTTATTTAATCAGAAATGGGACAGCTAAAGCTGGTTTGAAATTGGGTCATGCAGCAGAACCTTTCATTGCAACCACAGCAGCTGATCTATAACAGAATGCCTGAGAAGGTAAATATCCGTGGTGTTGCGGTTCGTCATATGACTGAAATGCTGGTATATTTTAGCTGTGCTAGAAATATTAACCTTGTGAACTGATGCAACAGCTTGAAAAGAAATAAGTCCAAATTCCTCAACAGTCTTGTCGGAGACATGTTGTCAGTGCTAAAGATTATTTACTGAGCTAAAGATCCATTTTCCCAATCTGATTCAGCATTTTGTTTTGGGCTTTTGTGAAACAAATAACATTGAGTTATTACTAGGTTGTTGTTATGTTTATCTAATTAAATTAAATGTATCAAATTTTCTTTTATCGTTAGCATAGCCTGAAATGTTGGAGTTAATAGAATATATACAAATTCTCTGTGAGTGCCTGATTATGTAAACTGAATCAAAACACAGTTAATATCACACAACACAAGGTTGCAAATAAGAAATGCAGACACATTCCCTGTATGCCACAGAAAAAACAAATAGTCACACACATCAATCAAGTCACTGTTATGCGGTTTGAGGTGTCTCATTTCCATTTCCACAGTTAGCCATAAACCAGTCAGCCAGATAACGGCGTGGCAACATGTCTTTTAACTGGTTGTGCTTTACTGCCGCATATCCAGCTGCCTCGGTTCAGATGCCATTACACACAGATGCTGCTGTTTGTGGTGTCCACATTACATACTCTTTGCACGTGACTTCAGAGCATCATTACAGCTGCTCTCTCATCATTATTAGATGGCAGCATGGATGTCACAATTAATTAACCACAATTATACGGGTGAATTATTTGTTAATCATTTATTGCCTGACATCTTTAAAAACCCCTGTGATGTCAGCAAAAAATAACAAAACAAAAATTTACCTTGTTAAGAATTATGTTTACCTAGCTGTAAATATATTACACAGATAACATTGTATATATGTATAACATTGTAAATATATTTCTGACTTTCCTATTTGCCTAAAATATTTGTTTTAGCTTTATGACACTATATGAAAACTATATGAAACACATTCGTCCTCCACTGAGGTTCAGACATGAGTGGCTCATGGGTGGCTGGTATTGATCTCTCTTTAAGGCTCTATATTTTTTTTACAAGTCCTGTTTTGAACTGGCTTGAACATCATGCTTCACACAAGGGCATTGTTCATACAAAAACACATCACAATTCCTCCTTCACATGATTAGACTAGGCTTAATGATGATTAAACTAGGCTTTAATGTCAGTTCATTCCTCTGTGTTTTGTTCAACTTTTCAAAGGTCAACATTACATATTATCAGTGTTGGGGAGTAACGGATTACATGTAACGACGTTACGTAATTTAATTACAAAAAAAGAGTAACTGTAATTCGTTACAGTTACAATGAGAAAATATGTAATTCAGTTACAGTTACTTCCGAAAATATTAAGAATTACAAATTTGGTTACATTTTTTAAAAAATATAAAGAAAAACCTTTGCGAAATATGCAACTCACTGATAGACGAAGCGTATTGATTTACTAATATTTGACTGTTTGTTGTTGATGCATGACAAACGTTTATCGATGTCTATGACTTAGCCTAGCCTAGACTACCTAGCCTAGCCTAGCCTACCCAACTGTAGGTGACCAGACGTCCTCTTTTTCCCGGACATGTCCTACATTTCAGACTAGGGTTGTCAAAAGTATCGATACTTAAAAAAGTATCGATACTAAAATGTTGTATCCGGATACGATACTCATTTTAAAAAGTATCGATAACAGACGTTAGCCTTGAACTGCTAGCTGCGGCTAACGGCTAATACTAACATGCTAAAATTAATCATGGGTCAATACTCATTAAAACCTTAAAGTAATCAAAAAGTAATCAAACGTAATTAGTTACATTACTTTTTGAAAGTAATCGAAAAAGTTACACTACAATTACATTTTAAACAAGGTAACTTGTAACTGTAACGGATTACATTTTTAAAGTAACTTACCCAACACTGCATATTATTACTGTTATGGACAACTTTTTACTAATAGTACAAGTTTGAAATGCCAAATTCTGCTGTCTGCTGCCTCCAACTACAAGGGAATTTACAATTTGCAAATGGAAATAAAGTCAAAGACCCAAAGCACTAGTCTCAGCTTCATTCTTCAATGGTACAGGGAGGGCAGCATGGTGTGAACTTGAAGTTAGTTGTAGATAAAGAGAACGAGGCTGGATAATTCACTGTGCTGGGAGTGCGATGTAACAGTATCCCGCTGGTCTGAGGGACTCTCTTAATGAGATATTTTCAAAGCTTAACAGCCACAAACAAAGTGAGCGTGTTGTATAATTTCTCTTCTGAATTTTTTAATAGGTAGATATTCAACTATAAGCGAGCAGAGTGATGTGTGAAAATATCTTTTGAAGTTATTAATTGCAATGCAAAGAAAAAAATTAAGAACAACCATTCTGTGTAACAGGGAAAAGAGATGTCACATTAGGTCATTTAATTTAATGCCCTTAAGATATGTGTAAAGCATGTTCAAATAACAACATTCATAAAACAAAGAAGACAAAAGAATTTGCAAGGAGAACAGCGTGTAGTGATGTTTGATTGATGTATCAAGAAATCATTGTTATCAAGGTATGCTTTGATGAAGTTGTGAACAATGTGTTAAAGTCTGAGGTGTGAGATTATATGCTCTTCTTTCTGCCCGTTTACCTCAATTGTGACCCTAATAAGGCCACAGCTCAGATGGAGGAGAGGCTGGCAGAGTTTATCCAGAGCTACACCCCAGAGAGTGTTCTGCCCCTGGCTGACGGGGTCCTCAGCTTCATCCACCACCAGATAGCCGAGCTATCCAGAGACTGTCTGACCAAATCCCGCGAGGGCCTCATTACCACCGTTTACTTCTGCGAACTGCAGGAGAACCTGGAGAAGCTGCTTCACGACGTGAGTCGTGACGGTTGAGTCGCCGAGGTTGTGACGGTTTGGAGTCGTGTACTCATAGAGTGTCTGTTTTTCCTCTGTCAGGCATATAAGCGCTCAGAGAGTTCCGAGCTCACGTTTGTCACAGAGCTTGTCAAAAAGCTATTCATCATAATATCTCGACCGGCCAGGCTGCTGGAGTGTCTGGTGAGTAGAACATCGCTCTCTGATTGTGTGTATACCTGCCATGGTGACCAAGAGAAAAAAAAAACAATGAAAATTCCCCCTAAATTTTTCTTTAACGAGCATTTTATGTCTGAGGAATTTTTAAAAAATCCTAACTAAACATTTTTTCCATCATCTGGTGGGATTCTGAGCATGACTGAACAGGCAAAGTGAGAAAGAAGCTTGAGGACAGACATGTTGAATATAAGAAAAAGATGACATGTCTTTTTTATTGCTGGCAAATCTGGAAGTTAGGGTCAGGCATTAGGGCAATATCTGAAAGATACAGACCATTACATCTTTTTTAACCACCTAACCGTGTAAAGGTGGGAGCCTGTGCCGAGATAATACTAGGCGAGAGGTGGGGTTAGGGTTAGGGTTACACCGGACAAGTCACCAGTCCCTCACAGAGCCGTACAGGGACAAAAAAGACAAGTCACCTTCTCACTAACACACTCACACCTAGGATCAATCCAGTTACCAATCAACCTGACATGTCAGCAGGAGGAAGCTGAAGTACCCAGGGAGAGCCCTGCATCCACTGATAGGGCTTGCTGTAAAAGCAACAGTGCTAACCACCACCCCATTTTCCAGCTCCAGCTTATTTTGCTCCATAAGTCAAAAACAGTTTTGAGAATGTGTGCTGGTGTGGCTTTACTTCCAAACACACTCTTTTTTTTACAGCAAGTGCAGCAACGTCATAGCAAACTGCTCCAACACAGCCAGCTGGCGTTGGCCAAACAGAAGTGCAAAACTGAAAGGAGGAGCTTGGTGCCAAAAAAAAAACCAAGATTGTTTATGCAATTGCTGCATTGTCAATAGGTCACAAATACTGACAAAAAGCATTCAAAATTTCCAAAAAAAAAATTTCAGGATGGTAAATTGCTATTTGAAACCTCAAAATATAAACTTAAAGTATACTGTATGACACTTACAGATCAAGGTACACACATGGTAACATACAAAAAATGCCTGATGTTTAAACTCCTCATGAGACTTTGTTTCCATTGTTGTTTGGTTGGTTGAGAATTATGCTTTAAGATGCTCTTACTGCAGGATTTTCTTGAGGTTCTGCTTCCTGTAATGTTTGCTCCAACCATGGTCGGTTGCCATTATCTTTTTTCTGTGGATGAATTGTAAGGGAGAACAATATTCCTAATTTCAAACAACGGCACTGAAACTACACAAAAAATAACGTGTAATTAATCATGTTTGAAAAGAAGTTACATTCAGGTTGATATGTGAAAGGCATTTTTCTATTACAAAGGTAATAATTTAACATTTTCCTAGAATATACAGATAGTGATAGGACTCTTTTCTAAATTCAGATGACTGTATTTAATTGCAGTTAGAGATCTTGCCCTTTATACAAGAGCACATTTGAAATGGAAACCAGTTGGTATTCTCTGACATTTAGCTACTTCTTCCTCACTTGTATTACACGTCATTCATCATGTCACACATCTTCTTCTGCAGTAGATTATTTTTACTGCTGGATAGATTTACCTCTTAAGAATGTATTACACGTAGCGGAAGCTGTTGTTGTCCTTTTTTACAGAGCTGTCAGACTTTTCACAATTCAGTTAGCTGTTAGATAGAGGTGTGTGACCTCGGCACGCTGATACATAATTCACCTAAATTTGTGTTGAAATGATAAGCCTCTATGTGCACGCAAGAAGCTTAGCCACACCTGTAAACCAGCCCTGAGATTGATGGCTAACTCTGTTTATCAGCTATGGCATCCCTCTTCCCTGCGCCTCGGGCTCATCTTTCCGTCGTCCAGGCAACCGCCAGAGGAGGTCGATTGGGTCATTCAGAATTTGGAGGGGACTTTAGATCCTCCTGACTCTTGGGTTAGGGAGGAGAACTCGATACATAGTAAAATTCATTTCGCATTCAAGTCAGTTACGAGGTCTGACTTGGTGAAAATGTCACATCGCCAGTGAGCTGTTTGTTGCATGAATGTTATCCTGGAGCAGAGCAAGCTATCAGAGAACCGGGTTAACTCCCCCAGTTCCTTTTTTCTCTGGTCGAAGGGAGCTTATATGAAAAAAAAAGAAAAAAAAGGGGGGGGAAGCAAATGATCCTGGCTGCCCGGGGCCTTTTAATGAAAATGTTATTCCACCGACAGGAATCAAACTGAATCCCAGGGGATAGCACAAATCACTGTAATGTTGTGGGAAAAGATATTCTAAAAAAAAAAAAAGAAAAAAAAAAGCAATTTAAAGTTTGGAAGAGTATTAACACTGATTATGTTTGTCTGACAGCCTCATAGCAGTGCTGACTTGCACTTCTGAATGTGCTGCAGGTGAAGTCAGGCGTACTTTCAAATTACTGTGACGCATTTGATGGCCAAATATGTTCCTGCTTTAAGTCACCCCCTTATTAGCTGTTACTGCACCCTTAGCATGGGCTGGTTATGGATTTTGTGTCACATGATCTGCAAAGTTGCCACATTTACTCTAGAAATATAGTTACGTGAATGTCCCCACTTTCAAATCTCGGAGTCAGAAACCCAATTTTCTGCAGTGTCATTTACGGTTTTTAAATATTTCTCCTTCTTTGTGACATCTTTTACTGCCTCTTCAACCATTTGCTCAGGAGTTCAACCCAGAAGAGTTTTACCACCTGCTAGAAGCTGCAGAGGACCACGCCAAAGAGGGACAACTGATGAAAGCAGACATTCCTCGATACATCATCAGTCAGTTGGGCCTGACCAGAGACCCACTGGAAGGTAAGACAAATAATTTTATCTGATACGAAAACATGTACAAACAGAAAATATTCAGGTAAGTTTCTAAAAATGCTGATTTTTTTTCTCCAAAGTTCGCTTGTTCACCTTTAGAGTGAGTCAGAAAAGAAGATCAATACCTATCGTATGTCTGCTGGTTAAGTGTTGGGCTGGAGACAGGAGATTAACCCATACCTTTCCATAAAGAAAAAGCAGTTGTGTCCAAGGGAATGAAAAGAAAACAAAGTATATTTGAATATATATTGTGTTCTTTTGTTGAACAGCTGTGATCTGTTGTGACTTAGTTCAATCTCTGTTCCACTGTGATTTCTTTGTTTAGTACAGCTTGTTGACTGGTTAGCTTTAGATAAATGAGCACTTGGATTTTCTTTTCAAACTAAAGGAATTCATTCAACTGCTGGAGCCAACCTCACTTGTGTCTCTTTGTTTCATCATACCTCCAAACAAGACACAAAGACTCTATGTTTATTATTACTGATATCAGATGAGAAAGCTTTGCTATCCCCAGTGTTACTTAGAGACAGCTACTGCTGGAGAAGCACACAATCTCAGCTGTTAATGATGTCATATCTGTCGACTGCACCATTTTGTCTTCATTGTTATCCCTTTAAATAACATAAGCAAAATAAAGATTGAATGGTATTCTGAATTACATGCTGTAAAAACAGAAAATGTTGTAGCAGATTACCACAGACACTAACCTTGTTGTCAGGTTGAATAATAATCAGGACTGCTGCCCTGTGGCTCTGCTCGACTGCTGCCTTATATTGTTTTGTGAATCAGCCAGTCTAAAAGTAACATGAATAATCAGAAAAAGAAAAAGAAAACAAAAAGCTTTATTTCAGTTTACATCTCCCAGGGGCATTCTAAAAGAGACTGGAGAATAAGGGATGAATATGTAGGAGACGGTATAAAGAAACATCTGAAGGAACGCGTTGCAACTCATTAGGTTTTTAAGATTATTAGGCTCAAAACGAGCATTTTAGAGAAGTAATGATGGGCAGAAAAAACACTTTTTCTGGAGTGATTTCAGAAAGTTTGGAATGTCAAGTCTTTGAATATTCCATTGTTTATTTGACATGATATAACTGAAGGATTCTGAGAATCTGGAGACATTGCTGCCATGGCCAATAAAAGTAATAGATGATCAAAATCTTCAGAGAAGACTGCATTTAAAAGAGTCATGATGGGCAAGAGGTGGAGTGTCATATTCAAACACTTCCAGAAATCATTATTTTGAACATAGTTCAACTTTTAAACCACAGTAGGCCTAAAGGTTAAAGTCCAGATTTCAATGTGTCCCATCTGGGTCATATTCACTTTAAAATGGACCAAATAAAGGAAAAAAAACTTATTTGGTCAGATTAACTGAGGTTTGAGATTATTTGTGGAGCTGCTTGATGGACTAAGAAACGGCCGAATCAGCACTCAGTCATTGATGTCAGATGGCATGGGGATGGAGCTGGACACTGACCCAAAGGACACCATACCAACCCTGTCAGTCATGATCCTGCCATCAAAATGTAGGAGGAGCTAATATTTTCTGGGTGAAAATTAAATGTCTGATGTTCCAAAACACCTTTTTTCGAGTTGAGCACGTCCATTAATATCCTATTTTGACTAAAAATAATTAATTTAATTAATCTAGCAAACTCATAGTTCTAACCCATTCTGAGCTTCTCTTTGCCCGATTGATTTAACCGCAAAGCAACGGAACCACTGTGGTTGTATTTCTGACTCTGTGCGAAGTGTTGTTATTTTAGGCCTTTCTGAGTTAATCTCTGCTAACTATGTACCACTTGATATCTTGATGTAGCACTTTCTTTAGCACTTCCATTGTCATGCACAGGCACGTGCGCACACCCACGTAGCTGCTTGTACATTCACACTGTCACAGTTAGTTCTTTTCCCCGTCTCTCACAGAGACTCAGTGGCAGTTGATGAAAATTTCAGCGTGAAACAAGAAACCGACTGAAAATGTGACTCTCATCTCAGCGACTTATTTTGTTTAACATTAATTTAGAATCCACATTTAGGGTTTGTAAATGGCATGGAAAGTTAATCATCGCTCGACTGTGTCGCCGCTTCAAACAATGGTGTAATCAGTGCTCTGAAACAGCTGTCACACACAAAAGTGCTAGCGCATTAAACATAAGCTGCCAGAATTGCTCGTGGAGGGAAGAAGAATAAAGTGAGGAGGAGGGAGGGCTGAAGAAGGGAAGAGAAATTGGGAGAGGATGGGCTTTTGGCTCTTCTTCTGTTTTGAAACGTGAATTTGGTTGAGGGTGCTCAAAGCAGTGTGGGAGTCTGTTAACGCTAAAACAATTGGCAAAGCAATATTCGTCATGACACCAGAATTTGTCCTAACCAACATGTTTCTCTCCAGACATTACCACTCTTGAAAGTTATGACAGCGAAGGTCCACATACTCCAGAAACGGATGACTCCGCAGAGGTAAGAACGCCTACTCACACACATACATTTGCATACTGTCTGTGTGTGCAAACTTGCACAGACATTTATTGGAAAATGAATCCTCTTTTTGTTGTTTGAATTGTGTTTTTTATCTGATGGGTGTCAACAGGGGAAAGGGAGATCCATCAAGCCGCCCAGTGAGGAAGACTTTCAGACCATCAAACTGATCAGCAATGGAGCTTATGGGTGAATCATACATTCATATTCCATGGATACCCCACAGACACCAAATGAAATCCAGTAAAGCTACGTTGGCCTTTTCAAAGCTTTCATGAGACTTAGGTGTTGGAACATTACTCAAAAACAACTACAAAAATTCAAAATGTCTTACAGTAGTTCTAATTGTACAATCAGCATGTATTTATTTCGTCCATGATGGGATTCTATCTTTAACCCCTAGATTATATTGACAGTAGTTAAGGCACTTAGTCAATTTTTGTAAGAATTCATGTAGTGTTTTTTTTTTTAGTAAATTAGCCCTTTGGAATGTGTTTCTCTTAAAAATCCATAGGCATCGCATCCCAGTTCCTCAGTCACTGTGTGATTGTTGAAGTTATCAATTTTATTGAAGCCTTCGGATATCTAAGGTACCAGAATTGTAACAAAAATGCAGCGAGGCTTTCTACATATTTACCCCTTCTGTTAGAATTATTACTCCCACTTAAGCAGATAGATGTTGAAAGCTTTGAGATTTCAGTAATATTACTCAAACTGAATTGCAGTGTGTTTTCAAAGGGATTAAGAAGACACTTTAATTTCTAAGTGGTGGGGCTTACTGTTTGTCTGTTTGTACTGTTTGTTTGCTGAAATAGAAAAAAGGATGTGCAAAGAATAGATCAACAATTCCATCTCAGCATACTGTACCGCAATCTAGATTTTTGGACTGGGACTTAAGTGGACAAGTTATTGTTTGAATTCAGGTACATTATTATAAGGCAAATTCTTCAACGGATAGCACCTTGTTGTTTTTTATTGGTATAATATTGTTAATCTTTTTCTCTGAATGAAGAGTATTAGCTGCATGTATCCATAACCTGCTCAGATTTGAAAAGGTTTGAAAGGCCGATACCAGAGTTCTGTATAAATAGAAACCCTAAATCTTTCTTTGGCACTTACTTGTCTGGTACCAATAGATCCTGTTAATGAACATGCAGAAATCTATATAGATTATAATAATTATAGATTAATTATTGAACAAAAAGCAATGACAAATGTCCAGAAAGTCTGTTGTATGATGCAGTTGTGCTAAACTGGAGGATCTGTACAGCTGATATGATGCCATAAATTTTCAAAATGTTGCTTGATAAAACTTTACGGTCCAACAACATTATATTAGAAATTTATGAAGCATCCGCTAACTACTAAATTTTTTTCCCTATAAATGTACTTGTATCTTATAATGCTGTGTGGGACGGAGTGTATTTTTGGCATGGCATAAGACAATAACTAGCGACACTAAAAGCACTTCTCCAACCTTTTATCCTGGCACAGAGAACAATTGAAACGCCAATAATGGAGGATGAAAGGGATCTGGATCGTATACATTTTAGAAAGCAGATCTAACATTTATTCAGAGGTTGACTTATTGAATGGTGCAAAAGAAATGTACATGATTTAAGATGTACTACACAACAAACAGCCTTCCTCTTGGGATTTAAAGCCAGAATAGCACATGACCTCCTACTGATGTTGACCACTGCACATGCTGAAAAGGTGATAAAAGATGACTAAAGCTGGCTTAGAAAAGCATTGTGTCTGCCAGGCCTGCATTAAGGATCTTTCTCAGGTGCACTTCAAAAAATGCAGCTCAGCACCAACAAGAAAAAAAATGGCCTCTAGCTTTAAGCTTGACATTCTGTGCCGGTGCTTTTGAAGTCTTAATATCCACCTGACAAGTATTCACCGTCATACTATACTGAACTCACGTCTCTTGGCTGTAATCCTGACTGCCTGCTGTGTTTGCCACTTCATCTCCTCTGTTCTGTGCCCTTGTGGCCTCTCCTCTTTCCAGTGCTGTCTATCTGGTACGCCACAGGGAGACGCGTCAGCGTTTTGCCATGAAGAAGATCAACAAGCAGAACCTGATACTGAGGAATCAGATCCAGCAGGCGTTCGTGGAGAGAGACATCCTCACCTTCGCAGAGAACCCCTTCGTAGTCTCCATGTTTTGCTCCTTCGAAACCCGGAGGCATCTCTGCATGGTCATGGAATACGTGGAAGGTGAGGGGGTCAGAATTCGTTCCCACTGCAGAAAAGGCTGAGGGCTGTGCTTTCCGAGGTCATCGGTTTCTCTCGTGGACGTTTTGGAATGTGACAGGTCAAGAGAGAATGTTTGACGTTTAATGTTCCTCTTGCCCTATTTTTTGCATGAGCCACAATTAGCTATGAGCCATGATTGCATAAGCTCAGCAAAGTGTCTGCTTAGTTTGTAAGACAAGTTTTAGTATCCAGATGAGGTTCCTTTTTAATGTCAATGAAACAAAGTTCATCCCATGACTATATGTTTTTGCTCGTGTGCAGTTTTTAGTCTTATTTTTTGCATTTGTTTCAATTCCTGTGTTTTAGCCTCTGGATTTTGACACAATCATAGTGTTACTGGTTTTACCCCATGCAATTAAAGGTATACTTAATGAAAAATTTAGGCATACATTTTCTTTAAGACATATTTCACTTTGAAAGTTTTAAAGTTAATGCTCCAGCATCAGTCAGTTTTTTATTTCAGTTGTGCAGAATGTTATTTAATTTTTAATAGATTGAGAAACCACAATATTTCACTGGATATGTAAATCAAGAAAGATGCTTTATTTTTAAACAAAGCCTCATCTACAAAAGGATTTACATGCAAAATTAGAGATGTACAAAGTGAATATTTTCATGTTTACGTCTGAATGCATACGTGTTCACACACTGACAGACCACCTACCCACCTGACATACATCCTCCACAACGGATGCCCTGTTGGTATGGCATTCAGATGTGTCATACACAGCAAGCCCTCCTTAAGATTCTTGCTAATATTTGCAGAAGTAATTAACAAACAAAGGTTCAAAGATAGGTGAAAATTCTGTGATGATGAAAAGGTAATTTACTTCCTTTTAACATGATATTATTTTCACCATTTTCTTCTAATTTCGACACAGCAGCTCGAATTTGCATGCCCTTTGTCAAAACAGAGGATGTAGTACAAATTTTCAGTTTTCAGCCTATTTTAATGTTTGTGATTTCAAGAACTCTGTTAAATGCAGGTCGTAATCTATGTACTACAGTTAGAAGTTGCAACTAAAATTCTGTCAAGTCCATCTTAGCTATTATAAAAACACAAGTTAATAACACGTGTCAATCTGTTATTAACACAATGAGGAGTCTTGGGTGAGTGTTTAGAAAAGATGAGTAATTAAACCTTAAGACAGTTAAACTATGCAGAAGTACTACCTAATAAGAAGATCGGCATATGTCATCTACAACACATTTGGATTTAACTTTCTCCTCAGAAATGTTAATAGACTGTGGTGTTTTTGTGATCTCAGGAGGTGACTGTGCCACTTTGCTGAAGAACATTGGGGCTCTCCCTGTGGAGTTGGCAAGAATGTATTTTGCTGAAACCGTCTTGGCCCTGGAATATCTGCATAATTATGGTATTGTCCACAGAGACCTAAAACCTGACAAGTGAGTGTGTTTTCTGTTAACAACTAATTATGTTTTCTGTGTGTAAACAAGTTAGTTGTTGTGACTAAATCACTTAAGAATCATTGTTTGAAGATCATTATTGAAAATCATTGGCGCATACTTATTGAGTAGGTTGTCCTATTGGTCCATTCGTCCATCAATTTTCTATAACGAGTTGGACCTTGGTTGGGCTTAGCCTTTCCCAGCTGTCATTGGGCAGGAGATGGGGTATCAACCAGAGGCTGCCATTCCATTACAGAGACACACAAAAACGAATAGACAAAACAACTAGGCACGCCCACACTCACTCAAAAGTTCAATTTAGGGCCACCAGCTTAATCTAATATGCATGTTTAGTGACCACCAGCATGCAGCCCTGTTCCTGCTGGTGTCACCCTGAATTTGCCTTGAAATGTGTTACATGTCATCTTTATTTGGGACGCTGCTGAGCAGTGTGAGCCCTGAAGGGTTACTGAGCAGCTTTTGGTTTTGTCATAGTTATAGTTTTACATGTATACTATCAATGTATACATTAATAGTATTAATTTGTTCCAACAGTTCAATAGCTGTTATATCATACTGTGGTGCATAGTGTGAGTTTGTTGTGCACAAATAGATTCAAAGTTTGGGGTGAAATTTTAAACCGTGTTACAAAATTGACAGCTACAGTGTGAACTACAATACACAATAATAAAAAAAAGGATTTTAAATTACAGCCTAAACTTAAAAAACATATTGCACACCTGGAGCAGAAGGGAAAAAGACAGTGAAAAGGGGACTTTAGAACACAGGTTAAAAAATGTAAATACTTCTGCATTTTCTGCTACTATAAAACTAAATATTTAAGATTATGCGAACGCGTCATTCTTGTAAAAAGTTTGCTCTTTAAGGGATTTTTTTTTACATGTTCATGTTAAATAACCTTAAAGGTTTTTAATGTATTTCATGTCCAGATTCCAGAAGTTGATCTTAATGCAGTTTTCTGAAGGGATGTTTTATTCTCTCCATATAGTCTGCTTATCACCTCCATGGGACATATCAAACTCACAGACTTTGGTTTGTCAAAGATGGGTCTAATGAGCCTGACCACCAACATTTATGAAGGACACATAGAGAAAGATGCCAGGGAGTTCCTGGACAAACAGGTAAAGTCAGGAGTGGATTTTTTTTTACTCTGTATTTGGTATGTTTTCCCCACTTGAGTTCCTATTTGTTCTTGTTCCCATGTTATTTGTTTGTTTCCTACTCCATTGGTTCTAGGTTAGAGTTTCTTCAGTTATTCTCCATGTTTGATTTCTTGTGTTTTATTGTGGTGTGTTTCTCCATTTCCAGTGTCTCCTCCACCTTCACTTCTGGTTATCTCCCTTATCCAGTGATTTTTCATTCATGTAATCTAGTATACTCCTCTCTCCTGCTATTGGTTGTCATTTTTTCTTCATTTATTAATCAGTCTCCTTTCAAATCAAGCTTCTGTTTTTTCTTCAGTCCTCGCTGTCTCCATGTCTGGAGAGGTCTGGGGTTCTGAAGATCTCGCAGACAAAATCTCAGTTTGGGTCAAAATTAAAACGAAACTTTGTCATCTTCCTTTTTTTTCCAAAGGTCATCTAAACTACCGATAACAAAGGTTACACTTGTACACACTGTCTGCTTGTAAATAGTCGATAAAAAACTGAATTTACTACAGTGGGATTACAATTTAGATTCTGCTCCAATGATATTTGAAATACTTTGTTGTTGAAATTAAAATTTTAAACGATTTTCTTTCTGGCACAGATTGTTTTGGTATGCTACCTTGTTCATGTTGCACTTCTTATTTGTTGGTTTTTAAATATTAGTGGTATTGTTTTGCAACCGCCTGGTGGAGGCTTCTGACAATTAATTAATTAAGATCGGTATGAATAGGATGCGCACAATGCGGTGTCTCCTCCAGCCATGCGTGCGATCCTGCCAAGTCGACCGTCAATTGTCTCCAAACAAAGACACTGCATCACAATGCTTCCTGCTCAGTCAGAATTACTCCATCACGGTGCCATTTTGTAATTACAGTTACTGTTTATGTTCTGAATTGAACCATAATCAGTTAGACGGCCTCTGTGTGGAAGCAGGTGTCTGTTTGTCTGCCAGCAATAATCTCTCATCTGCAGTTTTCACAGACAACAAATTCCATTTTAATGTCTTTATAGGGTATACTGATTAGGTGAGCATTTTGCATGCAGGCCAGAGATGATATTTGTTGAGAAAGACCAATAATTCACAGCTAATTGGAATCTGGAAATTTTATTAGGTTTTCTGATTTTATCATCAACCATATGGCTTTAAGAAAAAAAATAAACCAAATCCCAGCAGGACTCTTTCCTCATAAAGTAAAACATGTCTTCAATGCTTGCTATGAACAGTTATATAAATCTATGCTAAGAGATTAATATACTGTATCATTACCAAGAGAGGAATTAATGATGTCTAATTTTATAATTGAAACATTGAGCATATATTGTCTCCTCCTTGGAAGTTTAAAAGGAACAATTATTAACTATTTCCAAAATTTTCTCCTCTTTGCCTTCTGTATTTCCCTTTCTCATTCTTTTCAGGTCTGCGGGACACCAGAGTACATCGCACCAGAGGTGATTCTCCGTCAAGGCTATGGGAAGCCTGTGGACTGGTGGGCCATGGGCATTATCCTCTATGAGTTCCTTGTGGGCTGTGTGCCTTTCTTTGGAGATACTCCAGAGGAGCTATTTGGCCAAGTTATCACAGGTGAGGAAAGGTTACAACTTAAACACAGCTTGGTTGCAAGCTAAATATATAGCGATCAAAGCAGAAAGACACAGGGAATAGAAACCATAATTATTTGTTTATTTTGTAATTGGGGAAGTCTATTAATTATTCTTGTAGAGTTTAGCTCACAAAGTTTGGAATACAGCTCCAATTACTGTATTAGCTTTGTTTTTATGACGTTAATTTTCTGAGTCTTTGCTCTCTGTCTTGTGCCTCTTAAAGATGACATCGTTTGGCCTGATGGGGACGAGGCTTTGCCTGCAGATGCCCAGGCCCTCATCTCTGCTCTACTGCAGACCAACCCCCTTGTACGGCTGGGCACAGGTACTGAAAACAAATCTGCGTTTGGATATTATATAGCGTAATTGGACTGACGAACAGTGCATGATCAATTTTGGGAATTGAAACTTTTTTTAAAGAAAATATGAAAGCTTACTCAACCAGTTCAGATACAAGCTGACTTCAATAAAGAAAGATCAGATAAAAGCACTGCACAAAGCTATTATTGAAACTGTTTTTCTTTGATCATTATATTTGTCTTGATGGAGAGATGATATAATTGGAAGGAAAGACATAGGCATCTGCGCATAGCTGGTAGAGAAACAGATATACCTGGCGGCAGAACCGTCTAAGAAGAATCCTGATTCTCTGGTATCAAAGAAAGCTGAGATGAGGCAGTGGAGAGTTATTTGAAGTCCTGGGGGCAGTAAAGGACAAGGGAGAGTTTTAAAGAACAGGGATCAAACTGATTAGTCAAAAGAGCAACATGCAATAAAGACCATCTGGACTGAAGTACTGATGTGGATGTAAAAATGAGCTGAATTTGACAGCGTGGGAAAAGGCAATGAGGAAGTGACGAAATGCCCAAAGACGAGAATAAAAACAGACATGAGGGAACACATCATCTTCATCACTAAAACTTCATTTGTAAAAGAATGAGGAAACTTTCTACCAGGACTTCTCATATAATGCTGTGAGCCAAATCAAAACTACAGATTTGACTTCAAAGGTCAATTAGGAAAATTAGTAGGATTTAGTGTTGCTTGGAAGATTTTGTAAAGCTTAAAGCTGTTTCAAGTAGAACGGACAAAATGCCTCCAAAAAAAGTAAGTGTTGGGATTTGGTGTGAAGAGAGCTGCATTTAAAAACAGTGTAACTTTCTAAAAAAAGACTAAAAAGAAAAAGTCCAATCTTATCTCCTTTACTACAGAAAAAAAATTAACGCCAGGCAGGCATTGCAGGAGGTAAACGCAAAAATAAATATGTAAATGAAAACATCTGTAGAACAGGAAATGGCAGAAACAGTTTGAACAACGGAAGAATTGAAGAACGGATTGAACAAAATAGTCTGAAAATAATCTCCTTTGGCCTTTTTTCACTGACTTTGCTAAACAATATTGTGGGGTTAAGTGCTGAACGATTAAAATCCAGAATAACATTGTTTTTGTTTGTTGTGGGACTGAATCATCTATATATATATTATTATGTTCTTTTTATAAAGAACGCCCCAGTGTCCATGTTAATAATATCATAGAGAGAGCTCCTCGGGTTAGCATCACGCAAATATGTCCATTTCTTTTCCTCACTCCTACTACATACTCAGTTAAGAAGGTTCCCAATGAAAGAAAATACTGCTCAACCAGACCATGAGTTAGTGACAAGGGCAGGAAGCAAAACTAACTTAAAAGAAAGACAGAATAGGCTCTGAAAAATAAGATGTGAAGCAGAGTTGACAATAAAGAACATGGAAATCAGGAACAAGTCAGCCAAACACAGTGAAAAAATTACTCAAAAGTACGTAACCTTTAAGATTGAAAACTTGCAATATTAGCAGAAACAAGCAAAACATTACACCAGAGAAACCAAGACTAAAATTTCAAGGCCAAAAAACAGAGTGTTCGCAGGGTTTTAAAACTCCTACATAGACCCCATTTTTTTGAAAGGTTAGCGAAGGAAAAAAGGCTTGTTATACATAGATGAATATTTTATAGTTTGTTTTTTTGTTTTGATTGAAGCAAGGGAGCTGGTTCTCTGCTTTTAGGCCCTGAGATTTACTGAAGAGGAACTCGTATGGTTTGAAGAAGAAAAGACCTGGTCACATTTTCAGTTTTTGTCACGTTTTGACGCCCATATCGTCTTGTGACTCTACCGCCAGGTGGAGCGTTTGAAGTCAAGCAGCACTCTTTCTTCACCGAACTTGACTGGAACAGTTTGCTGAGGCAGAAAGCAGAGTTCATCCCTCACCTTGAGTCCGAGGAGGACACCAGCTACTTTGATAGTACGTGTTGCCTGAGCCGTCAGCGGTTGCATTAGTGTGGCGGGTTTACGGGGTGGAACAGTCATTGTCTGACACTGTTCCAGTCATTATTTTACAATGACAGTTCTCGTCTGCCTCCCTCCTTCCTCTGACAGCCCGCTCAGATCGTTACCGCCACATCAACACGTACGACGAGGACGACACCAACGACGATGAGCCGGTGGAGATCAGGCAGTTCTCCTCCTGCTCCCCCCGCTTTAGCAAGGTACGGCGTTGCCTCTCCATCATTATCTGGTTTACAACTCGCTGCTTTCTTCTTTTCTTCTCCCTTTGCCTGGCCTGACACCCTATGCGCTCGCTCGGCACTTGAGATCATTTGACAGGATTAGATAAGGGAGGAGAAAAGAGCGGCAGCACGAAGTAGGTCACGCCGCATAGATAGGCTCCTGGAGGCTGGACTCGGGCCTCGTATCTGGTGTTAATGAAGTCTGTGTGGGCTGTCTAACAGCTGCAGCGTTCATTCTCTCTCTCCTCGTCTCCAGCTTCTATTTTTTAGGCAACACAAAGCTCAGGCACCTAGAAGGTGGAGACCTCACACTACCCATTTTGCTCTGCCTGTCTGGGTCCTCCAATCCACACAGCTGTTAGGCCTTTTGTTTTCACATCTAACACTTCTCACATTCAGCCTCACTTTTTCTGGGAGCATTCCTCCAGGTCCCACTCTTTCCACCTTCTTTCCGTCTTTCGTCTGGTTCGCCCTCAATTTTAATCAGCAGATTCATAAACAATGAAATAGCAGGATCCAACAGTTTTAATAGGTAGACATGCAAGAAGTGGAAGAACTGCCATTTGAATGGCTTATAAGCAAGAGTAGCTCTTATTCAAAATGTTAAATATGTGTCTTAAATGTTATTGTTTTAATAACTTTAGAAAAAAAATATTTGCAGGGAACATCTTCAGATGGAAATCTGTAACTCAGATTTATTCAAAAATGGGAAAAAAACTGAAATAATTTTTGAATATTCATCATTTGTTAGTGTGCGAGTCAAATCAAAATAATTGTCGTGTAGTCTTCTGCCCATTGTTATCAGGCATTTTTGATTGTATTCAACAGGGATTTGAGCAAAAATTTTTACCATTAAACGAAGCAAAAGCCTCAGATGCAAAACGATATGTATCAAATATGGTACATACTGTATAGTATTATTAAAAAGTAATTTTGATTCTGATTGTCCACAAACCCCAAAACCTTTGGTCAAAATGAGATTTACCTGCCTATCATAACTGAGCTTTAACCAGCAATTTCAAATGAGTTTTTAATTTTAATTTTATTTTGGGAGGAATGAAATCTCTCCTTTGAGATGTTTCTTGATTGAAATAAGGTAAAGGGGTCTGAGTGTTTATGTCTTTTTGTTTTCTTCCTCCTGTAAAGAAAGCTGATATGTGCTTCCATAGTGCATTGCCAAATGTCCTTCAGGCTTCCTTTAACGCCGCACGCTTTGTTGTCCTCCCCCACATAGCGCAGTTGTGCATATAATGAGAGCCTTCAAGAACGACTATGTGCATGTCTTTGTGGATGCGTTAATACCCACAAGAATGGAAGATGAAGTTATGTTTTTTTGTATAGTGGGTCATCCCTTATGTGGACTCTTATGTTATGTGTCATATTTCATATCGTGTGATGGAAAAGAGCCAGTTTATTTCCATGTTCATGCACAAATAAGAACACTTAATGTGCAGGAGGATAGCTCACTGGGAGAAATAATGGACAGAGGGTTTAAGATCTATACTGATCTGTGAAGTCAAGAGTCGCCCTGGCTTTCTTTATATATTGTTGTTAAGGACTAATTCTCAGAGATCTTTTAGGAGGTAATAAGCAATATTACATCAGACTTTCTGTATCTAACTCAAAAGTTGAACCAGTGTTTTGCTTTACAGGTGCCAGACAACTTTATCTTTATCTGCTTTGTTAGCTGTCATAAAGATATGTAAATTGATCCATAGTTTAAGCTGTGCTTTTGACATTATATTTTTGCACCATTAAGATGATTACCAAATGGCTCCCATATAAAAACTTTGTACAACCCATAAAGGTATGGAGTTTGTCCATAAAAAAAGAGAAGAATGGATATTTGTAGGACAAGATAAGAAAATTTAGGCCTAAAGCAATCATCAGTTGGTAAACGGTTTCTAAAGGTGATATGCTAAAGACATTGGGAAAAGTTTGAGTAAAGATATGGAATTTGTCAGATGCATCTGACTCTTCAGTTTATCCATTGGCTGTTTAATAAAGCATGATCAGGAAGGTTCTGGAGAATGACACAAAAAGTAGACAAAAAATTCTAAATCTGACACTTTTTTTTCAGATCATTGTCATAAATTCTGAGGAAATTTGAAAAGTTATTGTCTACAACCATTTATAAAACACCATGGATAAATACACCAAAACATTTTGATATTTGCTTTTGGTCACCGGTCATGAAAGGTACATCACAGTACTATTTGGAGACTGATTCTGATTTCCAGAAAACTACTTTAAATAAATAAAACATGAGCGTGTCACAAAGGGCTCAGGGTCTAAAGGTGGATTGCCAAATAACATTGTGAAAATTGAATTCTGTAGCAATATATACTATTACATAGGCTTCAAGCCTATGGTGTGTGTCTACTTATGCTAACAACCTGGTGTTAATGGAATTTTCACCAGCCACCGGTCAGTATTAATCTCGGTTTTATAAATTACATGTGGTGTGAAAGCCAAGTCAGACATGTTAGTATTTGTATAGTAACTGTCAGTAGCCTATATGTTTTTCAAAGGGGTCATATCATACTGTTCATCGGGCTGTAAAAGAGCTGGAGTCAGACCTTGATAATTAGATCTGGCTGTTTCCTCTTCAGGTGTACAGCAGCATGGAGCATCTTTCTCAGCTGGAGCAGAAAGCAACAACGTCGGTGTCCCGCCGCGAGCACAAGGGTCCACGTGAGGACAAGGTGACCAAGAGGGAGAGCCTGGGCAGCTTGAGGGACAAAAGTTGGAGGACAGGATCCCCGGAGATGTGAGTGGTCGACAAATTTTAATGGCATGTTCTCTTCTTTCACTTTTCTTCTCTTGACTGAATGAAACAGTGAAGTAGGGTATTCTTTATACTTTCAGATTCATAAACTCAACACACTAGAATTAAATTAAACATATTTGTTTTGTTTTTTTAAAGCTAACAACTAAGATATCCACTATAGTGTGAAAACTTGAAGCTACGGATTACTGACCCAGTAAACTATCCACCCATTTATCTTAAATGAGTGCGTTCCCAATTTAGTTCCAACACTGTTATTTTGCTTGTTATTTATCTATTTTAATCATATGTCTATTTTGAATGATATATTAATTTATGCTGCTCAGCTATCCGAATTTCCCTGACAAGGGGTAAATATATTTTTCTATTCTATTCTTTTCTCTTTCACAGAAAGAAGTCCTGGTAGTATATCATTTGTTTATGATGAGCTGAATAACACAAACAGTTGAATTTTTGTACTTAATTATGCTCCTTGTGAAATATGTGCTTTGATACCACAAACCTCTTTTCCAAAAAGATGAAAACTTAAATCTGTAGTCTTTCAATTTGTTTGGAATTGTCGTTATGAGGCTCAAAGAATGATTTCCAGTGTCGTCACTTCCCAAATTCATTGAATTATTTAGAAAAGTAAAAGACAAACCTATAATATTATGCTGGTTACATATTAAAAAGATATTTTGATGAGGTACAAATAACTACCTACAAACCAATTTTGCGACGAATATGATCTTTAAACATCAACAGTGCAACATAGTGGCAAAATCTTGGGAGAATGGGAAAATCCCTTAGCACAAAGATCTAAGATAGAAACCACAGTGGATCCATGTGACCTGTGAGCCCTTAGGCATCACTGCATGGGAGAGCATCATGTCGCATTGATTAGAATAGCCACATGGGCTCAGGAGTGACATGGAAAACTATTTTCACTCAACACAGTCTGCTTCTGCATCCAGAAATGTAACTTAAAGGTGGATTACACAGGTTGCACATCACATTTTATGTGTCAGAGTCCTTTTTTCTACTGCCTATGGGATAACAAAACATGGTTCTACTTGCCAGAAGCTAAAAAAAATACTGTCAGCATCTGTAAAATCTGTAAAGTCAGCATCTGTGACGGATAGGGCTACAGCAGTGTCCACTGTAGAAAAAAATAACAATAAAAAAACAAGGTACACAGAATTCTTATACAGTCCATTTTCTCAGTTCCTCAAATGGGTTTATATAAAACATAAATCAAAACCTTTTTTCCTGTTTTAATCATGTTGTAGACATGAATTTTATTTGATTTCTTTCAAAATACAAAATTATCTGCTCAGTTCAGAGACTGAAAATTATTTATTCTAACTTGTGTCAGGCTCAAAAAGACCATTGATGTAAATCTGATTGCATTGTAAAGTATTTGTCCACTAATTTTTAGCAGTACTGAGGCTGTTTAGTCACAGTTATCAACAGACAGTGCTCTTTAGCTGATATTGAAACACAGTCAGTAGTTTGCGTCATAGGTTGTAGATTTTAGTTGCTAATGAAAACTGCGTGTTTAGTCAAAACGTAGTCTGCTTTTCATGCAAAGCACAGCGTTGCTCCATCTTCACCTCAGTATTTAGAGGATGTTGGTTGGCATTCAAATCTCTCCATTGACATGTTAAATAAGATCATTCATTCAGACATTCTGCCTCTATTGAAAATTAAAGTAAGGTTGAAGAGGTTCACTATTTATATTACATTTCCTATTCTTCCATACCAAACAGAGAAGACCTGTATTTGGTCCACTTTGATTCAATTCTATCCTGAGTTCATTATCAATTTCTATATCAATTATTATGCAAAATATCTCCTTATATCTTTTGTGTATTTGCATTTGCTGCTTTATTTCCTGTTCTTTTAGTCACCCATGTGAGCAGCATAGGTGCATCGGTAAACATTAGACTTTCTTCTTTGTCTTGCAGGAAGCGCCTGTCTTGTTCAGAATCTCTCTACTCAGAAGGGGACGCGAGCCCTCCTCTTGGCGCCAGACGCCGCTTTTCGGCTTTAATGGACACGCATCGATTTGCATCGGCTCTCGAAGGCGAGCCGGATTTTCTGACCCGCCAGAACCCGATGAAGGTCCGAGGAACCTCGCTGGATGGGACCACGATCCCGTCACCGAGTCTGCTGGAGCAGAGGGCCAGCTTAAAGGAGGTCAACGGAGCAGGTGCGTTGGCAGAAACAGAAAGCAAAAAAGTCTGAAACTTTTGATTAGATCACTGCTGCTGTCTGCGCACTTCTCTCATTGGAAGTCTTAAGATATTTTTCTCTCTTTCATTCTATTCATTTCCGTCATTCTGACTCCTCGCAGACAAATCTCCTAAACCAGGGGAAACTCCCGGTGTAACTTCAGGCGTCGGCACGTTATCCCCAGGTCTATCAGCAACCGGTCGGGATGTGATGACTCCTTTGTATGACCCTCTGGGGCCCCGAGCCACAAATGACCTGGTCCTCCGTCGGGCGCGTCACCATCATTTGTCAGGTGACGGAGAGAAGCGGAACTCCAGACAAGGCAACAAAGTCATCAAATCGGCATCAGCCACGGCTCTGTCTGTTATCATACCATCAGGTGAGAGGTTTAAAGACAATAAAGGATTCAATCCTTTTGAAAATATTGATATATTGCAGTTTTTTTTTTTTTACATCATCTCATATCCATCCCCCTCTGCTCAATCCCACTAGTGGAGCAACATGGCGGATTCTCACCACTGGCCAGCCCCATGTCGCCCCACTCTTTCTCCTCTAACCCCTCATCGCGTGACTCCTCACCCAGCAGAGACTTCTTCCCTGCTGTCAGTGTGCTGCGCTCCCCAATCACAATCCATCGGTCCGGAAAGAAATATGGCTTTACTCTACGGGCCATCAGGGTCTACATTGGAGACAGTGATATCTACAGTGTCCATCACATTGTCTGGGTAAGAAACTTGTAATGGTTATTTGTGTATTTGTCTTTTTTTCTTTATTGATTTCAAACTGCTCTGCAACCATCACTGTCCCCGTCAAAAACAAGAAGTATTTAGTGACATGCTGGCATTTGCACCTACTCTGTTTTTTACTTGTTGTTTTTTTTATTGTCGTTTTTGCTGTTATTGCACTTTTGTTTTTCTGCACTAATTTTGTACTGTAAATAGTCAGTTTTATTCAATTCACAAGAGGTTTATGGAACATACAGGATCTGATTTGGAAAGTCTCTAAAAGTCCTCATGCGACTTAGCTAGAGTCCAGAGTACAGCTATGAAATGGCTTAAATGGTTTTACCTGGAAAACATCTTCCAAATCAAAGGTGGAAAAAGCTTTTGTTGCTTTTGTTGCTATATATATATATATATATATATATATATATATATATATATATATATATAAGCAACAAAGTAACTGTCAAAGATATGGAAAATAAATAAACACAAAATGTTTTAAATAACACTTTAAAGATTAAAAGTGTTATCCCATTTTTCCCATTTTTTATCTGCTCATTCATCATAGATTTTATTATTCTTGTTATTTTTCTTGCAGCAGTACAAAAAATATTTTTACTAGATTAATCAATAACTTCATTAATTGTTCAATTACTTTCTTTTTCAAGTGATAGCAAATACGTATTTTATAGGAAATGTATTTCGTAAAAAGTTGTGTAGGAAATTATTGAATTGATGAAAAATGAACAAATTTATCGTTGCCTTAAACATTTTTAAGAAATGTGCAAATCAGAACTGTAAATAGATCATCCTCTGGCTTTTATCGTCTGTAAAAAAAGTCTATATGAACCAAACTTGCCAACACTGAAAGCTAATTGTACTTCAAATTGCTTTTCTTCTCATATCAATGTTTTGTGTGTGCTACAGCATGTGGAGGAGGGCGGCCCTGCCCAGGAAGCTGGCCTTTGCGCTGGTGACCTCATCACACACGTCAATGGAGAGGCCGTCCATGGTCTGGTCCACACTGAAGTGGTCGAGCTCATCCTCAAGGTCTGCAGCCGAATCAGTCTCAGATACGTCTCATGGGTGTCGTAGATAACTTAGCCAAGTTTCTTTTTTAACTTAAACAAAGGCTTTGAGTAAAGATATTGTCTGTGGATCGTTGTTCGCATCAAGCCAGCATTCATTGTTCTTTTAACTGATCTGTGCAGAGTGGCAACAAGGTGACTGTGACAACCACCCCTTTCGAGAACACCTCCATTAAAGTGGGTCCCGCCCGTAAGGCCAGCTACAAGTGTAAGATGGCCCGTAGAAATAAGCGCACAATGGTCAAGGAGGGCCAGGACAGGTAGGAGCTGATGTGTTACCGATGATTGTAGTAGATTGATGTTTGTCCAGCATATGTCATAGCTGTTTCTTTATTTTTTCAATGTCTGTTTGCCTGCAGTAAGAAACGCAGCTCCCTGTTCCGTAAGATCACAAAACAGTCCAACCTCCTCCACACCAGTCGCAGTCTTTCCTCTTTGAATCGCTCTCTGTCCTCTAGTGAGAGTCTTCCTGGCTCCCCAACTCACAGCCTGTCTGCCCGCTCCCCAACACAGGGCTATCGCAACAACCCTGAGCCCTCCTACCTGGGTATGGTGCTGGAAAGAAGAAAATCTAGTCTAAATAGTCAAACGCAAACTACGATTTCTCTAACATCAACTTAAGACGTATATTTATTTCCCTCATTGATTGCCTTTCATTTTCGCTTTCTGCTCCCTAGGTGCTTCTTCCCAGAGCAGCTCTCCAGCTTCCAGCACTCCAAACTCCCCTTCCCCCTCTCAGCACATGAGGCCCAGCTCCCTGCACGGCCTGTCGCCGAAACTCCACCGTCAGTATCGATCGGCCCGTTGCAAGTCTGCCGGTAACATCCCGCTGTCCCCGCTGGCCCACACGCCATCCCCGACCCAATCTTCCCCTCCGCCCTTACCCGGCCACACGGTGGGGAGCTCCAACACCACCCAGTCCTTCCCCGTCAAGCTCCACTCGTCCCCCCCGGTCGTCCGCCCGAGGCCGAAGAGCGCCGAGCCTCCCCGTTCGCCTCTCCTCAAACGAGTGCAGTCGGCGGAGAAGCTGGGCTCCCCTCTGACCCAGTCCAGTTCGACGGGAGGACTCGGGGGTCAGCTGAGGAAGCACAGCCTGGAGGTGCAGCACTCCGAGTACCGCAAGGACGCCTTCCTCTGTGAGCTCGGGCTACAGAGCCTGCTTGAAACAGACGGAGAAAATTTGCCTCCCAATCCTCCCCCCTTGCCCTTACCCTCGACCTCACCAGAGACTGGTGTCCTGAAGCCTGTGAGGAGACTCGGGAGACAGGAGTCTCCACTCAGCAGGGAAACCCTGCTGGCAGGAAGAGAGAGGGAAGAAAGGGAGAGGGGGAGGGACCCTGAGAAAGAGAGGGAGGTTGGAATGAGTAGAGGAACAGGATCGCAGTCATTCTTAGCAAGAAAGCTTCATTCAACTGAGGTTAACTTGAACTCGCAAAGCTCCAAACTGGGTACACAAGCCACTAGATCTCTAACCCCTAGCACGCCTATCAAAAGCTCTGGACAGAAGGAGCCAGAGAAGACACAGAATCAGACAGACTCGCAGACAAAGCAGCTACAAGCCAACCAAACCAAAAGCGTGTTAGCTAACAGGAAAGATCCCCAAGAGCAGAAGCCGGGAGGCATCCCTGAGCCAAAGCAGGATGGAGACAACAAAAGTAGGTCTGGTTTACCGACCGCTGCCTTCGGTAAGAGTCCTTCTGCAGCAGTGACCGGAGCTACTTTGAACATGAACAAAACGATTAAATCATCGGGAATGGGGGACAGCCTGAAAAAGGCCGAAAGCAATGATTCGAGAACTCCAGAGCTCGGCTCCAAAAGCCCCAAACTTCCAGCTCGGATCCTGGCTCCCGTGGTTCCGTCCCATGGGCAGCCGCTCTCGCTAGGCAAAGTCAGGCAGGGACTGGGCCCCGTCAACTGCTACCGGGGGACACTCGACTGGGAGGACAAATGTCGCCTGGAGGTGGTGGAGGAACATTCCCCCTCTCCCTCCCCCTCCCCGACAGCCGTGACCCCCTCCCTCTGCGGACCCTCCCTCTGTAAGTCGCGGCCCGTCTCCCCGGGCGACAAGACGAGCTTCGTCAGCCAGCTTACCACCGTGGCCAAAAACGTGCTCGGCCCGATCAAGCTCGGCTCTCAGGAAGGCGCCAGGAGCAAAGAGCAGCAGACTAAGGTCCTGGAGGAGAAGCAGGGGGGCGCTGTGGGAAAGTCTGAATCTCCTGCTGGGGCTCGAGCGATTGCCGGTGCCGCCGTGGTCACCCAAAGTCCAGCCGGCTCGCCACTCGAGAAAGCTGCAGCAGTCGGCAGCCTGCCGAAAATGTGACCCCAAGGGGTCCTTAAATCTCACTTTAGTAGAAAACGAGGGGAAAACTTTTTGGGAGGATAAACTACAAAACAGAGGACAAGCACTTAAAAACGATGTACATTCCAGTTTCAGAGTCTATGAGGTGTTATTTATCAATTCCAATCCCTAACTGATTCAAACTAAAAACAAAGATAAAAAAAAACTATAAAGGTGCATTAACTGTTGATTTTTCTATTTTGAATTATTTATTAAGAGGACTCTTTATGATGTAATGTGAAACACTATCAGATGTTTATGTGTGGGTCAATGTGAATGCATGTCGTACAGTATGTACTTTACATTTGTAATAGGTACAAGAGGATGAAAAAGTGCTTTACTGATCAAAACATGCTGAATACTGTGAATACCAAATCTAGCCACTATTTTTGACCAGGCCTTTTTTTTTTCTTTTTAGTTGTTTTGTTAGTTTTTTCCACCGCTGGAGAGTAAAAGAGTCCAGTTGTCATCAAGCAAAAACACTTTACACAAACCAACACTTTGGCCGCAGTGCAACAGGAGAAAGACGATTAAGCTTTTTTTTACTCATTATCCAGCAGTTTACTGCTTCGGATTATACAGTCAGCCGTCGCCATAGCAGGCAGTCCGTCAGGTGATGTCACATTCAGACCTGTCTAGCTCAGCTCATCATGGGGGATTGTGTGTAAAGTGTGTGTTTCCACCACTTTGAGTCTGTTTCCTGATGGTTCTTGAAGGCTGCACCGGGCTGCGGAGACAGCTGAGCTCAGGCTGAGCACTTATCTCCACCTAGCAGGATGGCCGCCTCAGCCCCTTCCTCCGTCACGGGTACGCACGTTCATAAACACGGGAGGCAGCCGAGTCAGCAGCTGATTGCCGTGCGTTTAAATCCTTACCCCCTGTTGTAGTCCATTAGTCGGGACACAAATATGTTAAGGCGATTGTGAGCATGTGTGTGTCTTTTTGGTGGACCGTTACTCTTAGTCACAGGTCATGATATAAACAGGAAGGGAGCCTTTTGATAAACACACCGAACTGGCACAAAGAAGATGGCCCAGCATGAGTATGGTGTGTGAAGCCATTACATCATGTTGTAAGCACAGATACAGTAATCTGGGGTGTTGTTTTTAGCCCAAACAGAGACAGCTGGCAGTTGTGGATGTAGCATACCATTATTTATTTGTACAAGGTTTCTGTAGCCAAGATGGACCTGTATGTATAAAGAAAAAGAATCATCAGTGGTATAATCAGAATGACTGTTAGGTTAGCTACAGTAGGTAGTACAGAGTGATACATGTACAGTAATGCTCATTGTAATAATATGATAAAGACAATTCAATCAGTAACTTCATTAATAGTCCTGAAAAACTATCTACAGCGTATCTTCCTCTCATTGGTTATCATCACTTCCTTATAGTTTGTAACCATAAATGTACATAATCTTATGCAAATTATTTAGAGCTGTGTGAATGTGGACATGTTTAGAAAGCTTAATGATATAAAGTCACTGTGTGTAACACTAACATATATCAGACGAAACATTGATTATCCATCCACCCATCTTTTTTTTATAATTGCTTCATCAGATTACTTACTTCATAATGCAAAAGCAAAGCATGAGGTGAGAATTGGTCTCTTTAAAGAAGCAAAATTACATAGTGGATGAATTTTCAAGCTAGGCAAAGAAAGAATACTCAGATAACACCTTTCCCAGTTGGGAGTTGCAGATGAGAAATTAGGTCTCGATGTTATTATAAGCTTGTTTTTCTTATCCATGAGTAATCTAGCCAACTGATGCAGGTGCAATTTGTTACATCTCCAACATCAACCGTAGATATCAGTATTTGTTACATACTGTTCTTTAATTTCTGGATACTTACATGCATTGTAACGTTTCACTTCCTGCAAATGATAAGATTCATTTTAGATTTGTCCAGGTTTCACTGATGCAAAACAGGATCCATCAGAAGAGGAATTATACATTAAAGAAGAAGACTGAAGTGTTCTTCTAAGTCCAAAAAGTGTCCGAAAGTAGTTCAGTCTGTGCAGGACATACCTCCGTCTTAGTGTTTTGTTCTTGAAGATCAGGTCCTGTCATTTCAGGCTTGGGGCACTTTTTGGCAGTTGCTTGTTGCCTTGTTGCAAAAGACAACAGAATCGTGTTGTTTAAGTGAAAAGAGCAAAACAATAAGTGTCACATTGCTGCTATATGCAACAAAGAAACCTGTTTGATGTTTTCTGCAATCTGCCATAAATGTGAAAGCATGTCCAATGTAATACATCAGTCTTTTTTTTATTCAACATTGTACTCTACTACCCTCTAGTGGTTTCGCAATGACAAGTTTTCAACATGTTGAACTGTCCTAAATCTTTTTTTTGAAACTTTATTTTACTTTACTGAGACCACTGATTTACTCCAGAATGTCTGTTACTAGCAACGGGCTTACTAAATATGCATTTATGTTTCTGATACTAAAGAATTGCAGTAATTATCAAATTAACTCTTGAAGCAATTTATTTATATTGCTTTCTTCATGTGATTTGTTAATTATATCATTAGAAATAAGAAAACCATTTTTTTTAATATGCTGTCTTCAATACTGACTGAAGGAATCATTGTATCTTGATGCTATGATGGAGATCAGCTCTATCCACCTGATAGTGAAAGAGCAGCATATCTTACAGATTACTGTGTCCACATTCAGGCCTTTTATTATGTTTCTGTTTTTAGTTGACAGAGAGAGTATATATACACATATTCATGTATGTGTGTATGTGTGTGTGTCTGTGTGCGTGCGTGTATGAACTTTATTTGACAGAAAAATATCTTACTTTGATGCTACTGCCACGAAGTCATCAATGACTATCAAATATGGATTTTGCAAACAAACAAGAGTCCAAGTATAAAAGCATTCCACACTTCTCTGTTCACTCAATGTGTATTTAGTTGTACCACTGGGGTATTTTTTTGGTGATAGATGTGACTTAAATGCAAACACCTGAAGTGCAGTATGTGGATTAAAGTTTCTTGAATTTGCTCCATGAATTGTCGCCTGACGTTCTTTGTGGTCTTAACATTTAGTATCTTACAGGGAATTTTTTTCTTCTTTTTTTCCATGACAAGAGTCACTGCTCATTGCTGTTGATTGTGATAAACAGGTGACCTGTCCGTGTTGTGCAACAATTTAACTCGCATTCATATCTAACATCTTAACATTGCAAGTACATAAATAATAGGTGACACTAGCCTAAATTGTACAAAAGATTGGTGACTGTATTAGAGACACATATGACCTAAAAAATCACGAGATATGTGAATGTCCTGATAACAGTTTATGAGAACTGAAACCATCTCAAATAACCAGAAGCTGGATAGTTGGAAAGTACGACGTGTGCCTATTAACAGCAGCCTCTTTCTGAAACTAGTCATGTGGTCTGTTTGAAAAGTGCTTTAATGGCTACGTCAAAGACAACTTTGACCATTTTCATCTCTTGATATAGCCAAAACTAAATAAAATAAGTGTTATCTGTAAACCATGTCTTGTCCAACAATGATTGATTTAAAACACACACACACACACACACACAATTACCCAAATTCAAGACTTTCAAACTCAGACATAAAATCCAAGCACCTTTAATACAATCCTGGCAAAATTATCTAAAAGAAGAAGGCAAAGAGAAATCCAAAACAAGAAACACCGAAAGATAAAATTGAAATACTGCTCGACCACTTGACAGACGAAAACGTACTGGCAAAATTACGCTGAATGAGTGACGTATAAATGAATAGATGAAGAAAGGGTTGTTACGAGACACAGGTGGATAACATCAAGTTGTGGAAGAGGTTTATTACTGTAACAGAGTAGATCTTGCGACGTGAAGTTGTCTGAAACGAAGCAGGAAATGAGTGCACAAAATAAAAACAGGAAGTTGAGAAGAGAACACAAAACCAGATACACGATGGCTGTAACATTTAGTCCGGTAAAAATGCACATGAGAAAATGGTCTCCTGAGAATGCTGAATAAACATACGTTTTGTATGGCTTCAGTCGACGAATTACATAACAATTACTATTAGCCAAAAGCTCACTTTGCAATGTTGGTCGGACTATCCAATCAGCTTTCTCAGTTTGGCTGCGATAGCCAATCATATCATATCAGGAAAGGACAACAGGAAGTAAATGCTGTGACGGGCAGATGCTGTAGCGGTGGATGACCGGTGAGACAAACCCGCATAGTAGTGGGGTATTTTCACAGCACGGTAGACTAATTATCGTGTCTTCCAAATGGCAGGACTCCCGTCACACTGATATAGCTTTGTTTTGTTTTTTTGTTCGGAATATTGCAACATTTATTTGTTGTTCTGTCCGACTTGGACGGCATAGAGGAATCGCCGGGGCTAACGCTAAAGTTAGCTTATTCAGCCTTTTGGGAATCGCGAGGAAACCGGTGAAATGTGTGAACTTGCGACAAAGTACCGGCCAGCTTAACCAAGTCCTAAAAAAGGCAAGTAGTTATTGGTTGTAAACCCTTAACTGCAAGTGTTTGAAATAGCTCCACGGATGATGCTTTGTGTCGTGAGACCGCATAACTCCACTGAAATTGCTGTGAACCTGCCTGTCAGTATTACAGATGACAGATCCAAAGAAACCGCACATTTCCTGTGTCTTGACTAAGACTATATACAACGTGTTCAATCCTTTTATTCACTGGGATATGCATTATTAGAATCAGATGACTTTCGCTGATAAAGCCCAGTTGCCAAATGGCAATCACATGATGGGATTGTTTTTTCTTCTTCTTTTCCTTTCAGTTAAAGGTTCTCATTGGTATAACTGCACTCTAATTCTGTCTCTTCCTTGTTGAAACTCCTACTCATCACTTTCGGGGCACGGTGGAAAAATTCCTGAGTGTTTCGGCTGTTGTGAAATCATAAGTTAATGTTTATTTAGGTTTACACCAGCAATGTAGCTTTAACACTCTTTTTGTTATTTAACTTATTTTTAAAGAAAATATGTCAAGTATCTATCAGAACTTTTAAGCATACAGGTTGTCATAACGTGAGTGAGCAACATCAGGGAATTCTGCTTTATTACTCTTGATTTATTACCAAAATCACGCTCACATAAAAACAAGCTATTACATACTGATTTTTCTGAAAATATTACTGATGTCTTTATTAGAAAAATGTGGTTGGCTTAAACTAGGCATAGTTGACAGTGTATTCATGGTGGGATCTGTGAGTTTCATATTTGATCAACTTTACAAATTCTGTATCATCTTCTCAAGCAAACACCTAGCTTCTTAGTAAATGTCTTTCTTTTAAAAAACCTTTTTAACTTGATTAATCACCATCTTAATGGAAATTTCTCAAAATACAGAAAGAAACTCCACTCTAGTAGACCTTAAAGCGGAATTAAAGCGGTGAGCCCTTCTGGACAGCACGTTCATGGTTTGAAACAACTCTGAGTTTAGCCATAAATAATTTAAACTCAGAGTTAAAATCTTAGTGGACACTTGATTTAGATGAAGAGTAAGCAAATAATGACACCTTTTTTCAATCATTTTAAACACGGTTGACAAACATTGGAGAATTAAGAAAAGTATTTAGCTTTAGAAAAATTCAGGAAAGGGCCTGAATAAGTTAAATTGTTTCAGAGTTTAAGACGTGTTTTGACGTAGCTGAGAGTTAATGATTTCCTTTCTCACATCAGTTCTGTGTTGCAATGAGGAGCACCAGAGTCCACCTTTGAGGACTCGGGAAGCATGAACCCAGTGTCCCAGAGTGCGGCACAGTTTGCCGGGGGGGGGATGCAGGATGAGCAGGCGGAGAGCTGGAGGCAGCAGCCCCTGGAACGACAGGGCAGCTTTGGACCGAGACTACCTCCGAACCTGGACACCAACAGAGACGCAGCCGGGGAGCCCGACGAGATAGACAAACTCAAAGCCAAACTGATGTCAGCATGGAACAATGTCAAATATGGTATGTTTCCCCTTTTTTTTTAACGATGGGGTGGTCGCAAAGGTTATCGCTTTGGGAAACCTTTTCCGATCACTATTTTGTTCCTTCCTTCTCTCTCTGTAGGTTGGGCTGTTAAGTCTAAAACATCTTTCAACAAGATATCACCAGTCACTGTCCTGGGCCACTCCTATCAGCTCAACAGTGAAGGTAAAAGCACCATCTTAAACATCTCAACCTATCTTAGTAAGAGCTGTAGAGGTAATGGGGAAACAAAAACCATAAAAAACCCAAGATATATTGCATTGAAGTGTGTTTTCATTAACCTCATATGGGGAAACATATTTCCTATCTTTCCTTTTATGTAAGATTATCTGATTTGCATAAAAGCAAAAAGCAGTTAATTTGAGATGAACATTAGAAACATTCAACAACCTTTCTGTCTAACCTCCTTGTTCCGTTCGTCCCCGCCCCCACAGATGAGGTGGAGCGGTTCCGTCTGGCTTTTGTCTCCAGGATCTGGCTGACCTACCGGAAGGAGTTTCCTCAGCTGGAAGGCTCCACCTGGACCACAGACTGTGGCTGGGGCTGCATGCTGCGCAGTGGACAGATGCTGCTGGCACAGGGGCTTGTCCTCCATTTGATGCCCAGAGGTTTGTGTTTCCCAATCATGTTCTTCACCGTAGAAGGTTAAGTTTGTGAAAATGTTATGTGTCTGTTATGCAAAAGGCAATCAGCATCTTCTAGAAGGCTGATCTCATCGTATAAATGAATTTGTGATGACACAAGAGTGATGCCAGCATGCATGTATTAGCTGGGATAACAATATGTATATATATATATATACCATTTAAGTAAAATGATAACTTTTAATCTTTTAATCTCTCTAGGTTGGTTTACGTTGTTTAGTTTCTCCTTTTGTCTTTTTTTATTAATGATGCCTGTGTCCTGATTATCTTTATTTTTTTGTTTTGTATTTCCTTGTACACAGCTTCTTTCCTATTGCATTTATAAAATATACACTAAATGCCGCCATAAGATAAACTGTTCCCCTTCAACTGACCTGATAAGTGTACAGGACCTCTTTTTGTTTTGTTTTTTTGTTCAGTTACCATTATCAGACATACATTTCCTCCAGGACTTAAGTCACCCATCAGTAGTATTACATATGTTTAGTATAAAGGCCTGCCCTGTAGTGCACCCTAATGTGTTATGGGGACTTTTTAGGAAGCTAAACATTGTTTATTAAATGCTGTTGGGGTAAATAACTTTAGCCTCACTCCCTTACTCAAATTTCTTTTGCTGAAAAAAAAGAAAAAAAGACCTGTATGATCATCTTTTAAGAAAATAGTGCAGCAGGTAAGACAGAGCCAGAGATTCAACAACAACAACACCACAATCGCCTCTGAGCTCAGCCTGGTGTCCCCCTTTCTTTTGTTGAAGTGCCCTGTCATCATTTGGTAGTTAAAGATGCCCTATCGCACACTGAATCAGCCATCTCTCCTCTGCTATCAGAAATCAAGTTGCTCAGGCGGTGTATACGATATATTGGATTATCACGTTGTGCTTCTTCTGTGCAGAAGTGACGTACACAGAGCCTCAGACCGTTGTTGCTTTGATCTCATTTCACAGAAGCTTGTATTTTAGCTCCACCTCATTGTTTGACATCATGCATTAATAGATAGATAGATGAAAACTTTATTAATCTGCCTTAGAGATATTCAAGTTTCTGGTAACAAACACAGTTACACAAGTTATCCCACTTACATGAATTCATGATAATAATAATAATAATGATATCAATAATAATAGTAATAATTAATAATCATAATCATATGGGAATTCAATTAAATTAAAATTAAATTGAAAGATACTTACACGTATTTCACTTGAGCCTTGATGAATATCAGTACAATAAAATGTATTTTCCCCAAATCTAAAACATCTAAAACAGCATTAAGTTTGAACTTTCGACTTGCTTTTTGGTAGATTGGGCTTGGCCTGACGCTCAGCAGCTAACCGATGTGGACTTCGAGGTGTTCCGACCGCGCTCCCCCGTACGGGCCGGAGGGGTCCCCATCCCTTCCTTTGGCTCCCAACGAG